CTATTACATCATCAACTTAAGATCTCAAAACTCACAGTCCCAAAAAACAAACAAACAAAGTCCCACTCTGTACAACTCTTTGTCTTGGACACATCTTCACCAGATATAGTCCCAAGAAATTATCTCTAAATTGCTTTCCTATGACCTCAAACGGGCTTACTCTCTATTTTCGGACTCATCCCTAACGGAACCCGTCGCCCCAGAGCTTGAACCCTGACCCAGCTGACCTCATTGCACCTCTCTATGCGCTTCTCACACACTTTTCCTACGGGCTTACACAACCGACTCGGAAGGCCTCATTAACTAGTTGACAATTTTAATGGCTGTTTGAGCCGGACCCACGAAAATTGCCTAATGAGTGCTCATGGATTGCGAATGCCAGCCAAAAGTCAGGCGAAAGGTTCCCCGAAAAAAATGGTGGCTGAAAGTTTGTTGAACTTTTGCTACGGCGAAAAAAATTAAAAATAAGTTTCGGCCAAAAAAAATTCAATTTCTTTGCATATTAAATCAGGCAAATCATTGTGTGACCCGGGGCCAAACTAGTTATAAAAAGATCTGCCGCCGAGCGGTTGGGTTATGTCATGGTGCCAGGCATTTCCTTCAAAATGCTAATGCCGGCCAAAGAATATTTCGCCAAAGTCAGGGCCAGAATTTCTGGCCCTGCTCCACGATCCCATGACTTCATATTTCCTCCTGTGTTTGCGTTCTTACCAACTTGCTTGGCCACTTCTATCACTAATACCATTGGCCCGGGGGCATAACTGGGTTCAAACACCTTTCGAAAACTTGCCTAATGCGTGTATTGATTGGAGTGTGTGGCGGCTTCCAGCCGCTATTCGGATTTTTCATCTTCGCGGCTCCCCCACGGAAATCGGGCCCATTGCGAAAGAAATCTTCATGTCTCGAACAATTTGTTGCGCCTGCTCTGCAAGTCAACCAAGATGGAGCTCTTGGCGGGATCTGCGACTGGAGTTGAGGTTGCTTCATTGTATATCACCGAGCCATATTTCGAGTGCTTGTGTTTACAGTGCAAATTCCATAGTTCCAAGCATTGAGAGTGTGCTAAAACGTTGAGATCCCAAGAATTTTAGTTCGAAACGAGTTATAATCAAATTTGTATATTATTCAACATGGTTTTAAGCCAAAAGAAGACTTTTGACTTCTTTTTTGTCTGAGCTTAATTAAGATTTTCTTCTATAATTAATTCCTATTAATCTGCACACCCAAATCTTGATAAATTCTCACTAAAGAAATATTTATGTGTACTTCAAATATATAATATTTTAAAATGTAGACCATTTTGTTTTTTCCTGTGTGTGTCGCGCATTTTGCAATTTTCATTTCTAATGCCTTGGAAACTGGCTGCAATTTGGCTGGTCGCTCGTCGCTTTACAGTTTGATTAGCTGGAAAATTTGCCATCGTTTAATTAAATTATGTCTGCAGTCGGTGGTCGGGAGTTGGTGCCTAAGCTTACGTGTACGTGTATGGCCAGTCGAATGACAATGAGCGGAAATGGCGGGCAATTTGCATGCAACGGCAGCTGACTTATTCCATTTCCATATCTCCCGCCCCTCTGGCATCTCCCTCCCCTGGCGCTGAAGTGAAAGGTGCGGTCCGTTGGCCAACCTAACGCTGAAAGCATCTTGGCCATTGAACTTTCCGTTCTAAGGCAACTTCTCGGTGATTCTGTAATTTCTCCACTCCGAGATGGAAATTGAATTTGCTAAAAAAGAAAAAAAATTGCTGGATATGCATGAACCGTAGAAATCATCTAAACAAGCATTATGTACCCTATAGTCATGGCCAATAGCTTTACCTGCTAGAAAGATACAGTTAGGTAGAGAATGGAATGTTAACCATTTATTTTTGAAGCGCTATAATCTTGAGTTAATTAGTTTCAATATAATTACAAAGCCCCTCGAATCAATTTTTAAAGAAACTAAAGTCATTAAAAGAGATTCTAAGCAAGTGTGAAATACAAAACCGTCTCAAAGAACTATGTTTTGCCACCTTCCAAACCCAACCCAAAAATTCTTGCTACAAAAAGCCAGTTTATCTTATAAATTCGTACAACTCTCCGTTCCATTTCACTCATTACCAGCATGCACGCACATATTTCAATCATCTTGATGAAGTTGCAGCCAACTGTGCCACTGTGGAAATCGAGCTCCAAGCCATTACTCTTGGAACCTCATCACTTCCCACTTGCCACGCCCAAACGCCCCCTCAGAGCCAGGGAAATAGAGCCCGTATCGCATATAGTATATAGTATATATGGTAGTGTGTTCAGAGACTGCCGAAAAAAATCGCTAACGAACCAAGTGTGGCCGAGGTCCCTGGCTCTTGGTCCCTAATGGCCTGCACATGTGCTACGTGGCAGCAAACGAACTGCAGTCGGACCCAAGCGAAATACACCCCCTTAACCCTACAAGTCTCCGTCCTAGAGAGCCCGACTAGAAATGTCCAAAAGAAATCGACGCAGTCACGTAAAATTATTTTAATAATCACATAACTTTCGGCATTTACACGCCAGGCGATCCAATGGGAGTAGCAAACAAAATGTCAATAAATTTCGGGCTTTTTGTTTGAGCTAAAAAAGAATAAATACGAGTACAGCAGGGATCAAAAAAATAGGAGCATTACAGTGGTCACTTTAAGTTTTAATATTTTCGTAAAGAATGCTTTGGTTATCTACTTAAAAGAGCTAAAGTAATATCAGAAATTAGTTATTATATTCCGGAAAGTATTTTACAGGTAGTCAGAGTCCATGTTAGCCCTCATGTTTAAGTATGCAATCGATAATTTAAGAGAGGAAACCATTTTTAGGTCCATTTCATTACTCCAGCGACTATTGTTTCGACCACATTTGTATTTCAGTAACAACTTTGGGATATGCACAAGAAAAAGTAGAAGTTTCAGCGGCCAGAGCGCTTAAGTGGGATTTGCGGGGCACTTTAGTGACAACTTTAACAATAAGTTGGGCGAAAAAAGAACGTGGCGCATAAATGCCGAGCAGAAACATTGGCCTGCACATAAGCCGCAAACTTTTGACGGCCACTGTGGGCTAATGAAATGAAGCCTCCCCCAAAAACAAAAAAATATATATGTATATAAACTATATACTTAAGAACTTGAGCTGATTTCGCACAGCAGGTGACCGTCTGAGTTTTTGTTGGTTTTCTTTTCTGGCTAGCCCCTGGTCAGTGTTTCAGCTATCAATTGCATCTGTCTATCGGGCAGATACATTTCACCAAAGTCAGACCTGGGATTTCCCCCCTTTTGTATTCGTATTCTCCCCAGCTGAGCAACTCCAGTGCAGTCGTTTGAGATAAATTACTCTGTGCACCTGATGACAAACTAAACAAGGCCCCTCGAACCCAACTCTGGGTCATGGAGAAGGAGGAGTCTGTCTTATAGGATATTTAACTAATTTTAAAATTCTAGCAAAAATTAAATTAAATTATTGAAATAACACAAAGCTAACAACAAACTCTTCGCATTAATACATTTGTATTTGATTTTTATTATATTTTATTTAAGTTTCAGAACCCAATAATAATACCTACTTAAAGTGTATTTATACTTTCGACATCACAAAGTTACTTCTTGTATTTGTATTCCCTTCTATGGCCGCATTTATTGTCATTATTATTTTGATACCTTTTTTAAATTTCTGTTGTTGTCTGCACAGTTTTCCTGCTATCTGCCGGTAGATTTATGCCAACAAAAGCCAACAATAAAAAATATATACACTCTTCTTTTGCTTTTAATTTTGTTTCTTTCTGGCGCTGTCCAGTTGGAGCGGCGGACAGCTGCATTAAAAAGTTGCCAAAGAAAACAGTTTGCATTGCAATTTTTTTTTGCTTTTATTTTTCAGCTCTCCTCCTTTCGTTTGTTGTTGTTCGTTATTTTTTCTTTTCAACGTAGGGAAAAAGAATACAAAATAAAACAACTAAATAGAAATAGATATAGTATATATGTATTATATATTTTTTTTGTGTGTACATTAGGAGTGACCGGGGCCCACAAAAGGTTGTCCGGTCTGTTGCAACTCGGTTAAGCCCTGCCAGCATCCAGCATCCAACTTTCAACTGGGTCATTGTTGTCCGCCCTGGCTTACCGACTCGAGCAGAAATAATGCCAAATCTGAATGCTGCGAGTTCAATTTGATATATACAGAATATATGCTAAAAAGAGAACAATCGAAAGTAGTTTAAGCCGGTGTTTGAGCTTAAAACAAGTAAAGCCCAAAATACGTATTTGGTGTAGGGATTCCAACTTTTCATTGGATTTTCATTGGAAGAGGGAATATTTTATATGATTTCCGATTACTTTATATCAAATTTTGTTCATTTTATTACCTAATTACTTTTAAAAATAGTTTTCGATATTGTTAAATAGCATTGATCATTGATTATTCCTTATAAAAGTAAAAATATGATTAAATTAATAAATGCAGACTGAACCTTAAGCTCCATAAGACCGTTAAAATACCCTACCAGTACTGCACACCTGACAGGTATCCCTTGGAGCAACTGCCCACAACTCATCCCTCTTTGTTTGTTAATTTCTTTTATAATTTTTGCAATTTTTCTTTCTCTCCCCCAACCTCCTCTCCAGTCAGTGCATTTCTGGTGTCCCTTCGCCGATTTTTGCTTTGTTGTTTCGTTTCATTCTGTTCCAGGTTTTCAGAACTTAATTAAATGTTGTCACAGCGCACACTTTGTAGTCCCGGTGCCTGGACCTTTGCCCCTATAGCCCCTTTTTTTCCTCCGCGTCCTGCGGGCAGAGGAGCGGACCGGTCCGCTCCATTGGCAGCGCTGGCTGTTTGTGACAGCAATTCGAAGTGTAAATGAAATAATAGCTGCTAAAAACCAATTTGGCGTAAATTATAAAAGCTTAATGGGCTTTGTAAACGGGGATGCCCATGCCCCCTACCTCTGGGCAGCTTTCATTGAGCAACCTTTGACTAACGATTTATTTGCTTGTTCTCTTGCAGTTCGGTGGAGCTGATAGCCCTGCTGGCTATTTCGTGCACCTTCTTTCTGTTCATGCACACGAACAAACTGAACAGTCGCCTCAAGGAAATGGAGGTGAAGCTGCAGCCGTCCGAGTTTTCGGCCCTCGGTCTGACCGGCAATCACATCAGCGGACACGATGCGGGCAGTAAGTCACTATATCCCCCAGATACTCCCATCTCGCATAGATGTATCTCGCACCTCTCGCCCCCTCTCATTTCCATCTCGCAACAATGGACACAAGGCCAGATTGTGGGCCAGAATTTGCGCTCGATTGCATTCGCGTTGCGTATCGGAATAAGGCATCGCATTCGGACAGGAAGTTTAGCACAGACCAAGTGCTAGTGGTAGATAGGATTCGACTGGGGGTTATCTAGGGTATTCATGTCTTTCCTTTTTTGTAGAACTTGAAAGATGAAAGCATATTTTCTGTGAAATTTATATAGAAAAGATAGTTTTCATATTGTTCATTTAATCTAGCTAAAAAAAGTATAGTTTTTATAATGTTATCCTGTAACAATAACTCATTTAATTAATGGTACAATGTATCCGCAGGTGAAACTAAAATTAATCGGATAAATGTGTCTAACCCACCCTTCCCAATAAGTGCGATACCGCGTTTGAAAGTTGGTTACGCCCAATTGATTTTTAATTACCACATTGACCTGAACCTCAAGCCTCAAAAAAAGAAGAAGCAGATAAAAAAGAGAACAGCCTCCCTGAGGCCTTTGTTAATAATTTCCGTTGGCGTTTGCCATAAAATAGCTGATCGTTTTAAGCCAAATTAGTGCGCATAGCTTTTCGCATAAATAAATGAAGGCATATTCTGGGGAAGGTCCTAAAAGTAAATATAAATAGGAGTATGTACATTTATTTGCCTATTTGTGTGCGCTTTTGGAATAGCACTAATAAACTGGCAAATTAAAATCAACATAATATATGGTCGATGCATCCATAGATTGTTGGTGCGGCGGCCCTTTTTATTACAATATGCATGTGTTTACATATTAAGCATATCTCTGCACACAGAGACTCATTTTTTGTTTTCTATATTTCAGTGCATTAATAAATTATTTAGGAGCGACAGGTTTGCAGGGCACAAAGGTTAGAGGGCATTATCGGCGTGACGGGGAATTAAACCTTTTGACATTGCTTTAAGCGAACTTTTGTATATTGCGGTTGTGCTTAATAATGCAGCATATTGATTATAATTTTATTAATTTAATTAGTAAACATGGCTAAAATGATAGAAACTGCAAAAGAAATCGAGGGATTAAATGGCGTGGAATATGAAATTAACTTGGTTTTAGTGTGCAAGTGCAAATAATGCAATTACTAGTTTTATTATAAGAAAATAGTATCTATATTCAAGCTTAAATAATACCTTTGAAAATCGATCTTGAATTGAGAGTGACATTCTCATAAAAATTTATTAGAAAGAAAAACTCTTTGTTTAAAATTCCCCCAAAGTATTTGAAATACTCCCATTAAGATCACATTACCGGAGACCGCAAAAGCCGTCACTTGACACCTTTTGCTTCACAATAATGTTTGTCGAACGCGCTCGAAATTCCAGTGGACACCAAACCAAAATCCAAACCGCACTCGAGTGCACAAACAATAATAAAAAATGCCCTAAAAAGAGCATAATTGCTTCCAAACGAAAACGAGCGTTTTCTAGAGCGTCACTTGAGATTCTGCCATCACTTTGTAAACGTCAGCATGAAGCCCCGAATTAGGCCGCGGCCAACTACTAACTAATAATGCTGTCGTCATTAGGCAACAGCGGAAAATCCGAAATCGAATCAAAACTCTCTGGAAATGCAAACCCTAATTTCCATGCCGGAAGTTTTGCGGCCTGCACGGGCTGTGCCATTCCACTTGCAAATTAGGCAAAAGTTGCCCCAACAGCGCAGCAGCAGCAGCAGCAGCACAGCTGTGCCACCAAGTGATCTCCACTTGGCTGCTTTTCTTCGCCAGGGGAAAAATGTGAGCCCAAGGGGGCCGAGGAGCGGGAAAACAGAAGACTTCACGCCTTACTGCGGTGATTGCCAAACAACAACAACGGCAGTCAGCTGACGCCAGTTTTGTGGTTACTGTGAAAGAAAGCCTCTCTTTGGGTCGCGAAAATAAAATACCCTAAGAGATAAGTGAATTGTAAATTAAATTTAAATAGAAAAATACTTAAAACTAAAATTTTTGGTCAACAATTTTAAAATTTGATTTTTGTCAAAGATTTTTTCGAACAAGAAGCAAATCTCACAATCTTCTATTGAACAAATACACATAAAGTTAAAAAGAATTAAACAATTTTGCTTTATTTCTAATTTACAATTTAAATATTTTGGTAAGATAACTTAGATTAAGCTAATTTATTTTCTACTTCTTATAAAAAACAGAAATAATGGTTTAATGAATATTGAAGGTTTCAATAGAAGTTATTACAAAATAAAAACGAAATCATTTTACCAAAGGGGTAGAAAAACGGGAAAACCCCGCCACCAAGTCGATTTTACACTATGTAGTGAGTAATGATGATGATAATGATGATGTGGAAGCGGATAAAGCCGGGCCAGATGCGACTTAGAGTCCAGAGTGCACTTGTGCGCCGTGTTTGCCACACAGCTGGTGGCATCTTCATTGTTGCCACTCTTGCATTTGCGTCTGCGCACGCGTCAATTGCCGACAGTTACAAATTGTTCCCGGTTAGCCCCTCTCCACGACTAAAAAAAAAAAACTAAAAGCTAATGGCCACAATATATATATACCTACATAAAAACAGAAAGAAAGAAGGAAAATATTATTTGGAAAAAACCTACATATTTGAGAAGTGGATGCATTTTTTCTCTGAGCAAAAGACAAAACGAGGTAAACAGTGTGAAATTCATCAAAAGGTTCGCCTCAAGCCGTTCATTCATCCATTCATAAATATTTCATTTAATTGACTCACACGACTTGGGGTCGAGTACGAGATAAAGATACGAATATGACGACGTACTCAACATGCTCGTTTAAGCCATCATGATGATGATGACACTGCTTGTCGGCCGTTGTCGGTTTTTTGGTCTGTCTGCTCTTTTTTTGTATTTATTTTTATATATATACACACATGCATTTGTCTGGCAACATTGAACTTGACTTAAGTTAATTAACGGCGCTGAACGTTGCAAGCCAACTTGGCTGGTGGTTGCTTGATTTCGTGGTCTAATGAGCAAGTGGAAATGCGCAGAGAAAGGCGTGATGAGGCCTCAGATCTTTAATGTTGATTTCTGGAATGGAGAAACATTTACCAAGTGGGGTAACCAAAGAATTAATTAGCGAATTTAACCCAGATTGGTATTAACCAAAATTAAACAATTTTTTATTCAAGATTACTATGCTTCGACACTCATGTTTAATTTATTGCATTTTAACTTTTAAATCAGAAAAGCTTTGAAAAAATGTTTAAAGATGACCAACAGAAACATCTATAGTTGGATTATAGCACACAATTTAGTAAATTATATGTTTTACACCTTTTTAATAACTCTACCAATCTATCAAGAACCAACCCATGTCGACACCAACCCTCTTCGTAATAGATCAACCAATTTAAGAACCTTTCGGCACTCCACCCTGTCAGAAGCCATTGTCTCTGAAGTTAAAATACAAGCCCAACAATTGCCTGCACCTTTAACTGGAACAGCAAAATGAGAAAAAAAAAACAAAATCTTTGAGAAAATGTAGCAATGCCAACTTTGCCCCTGGCTGAAATGCATAGCAAACCAGTTTTTCGCGCTCACTACCGAACCGGGCAGCTTTATTTTCAATTAGACAGCCACATAGACACGAACTAAGACACGGACCCAAACACCCATAAAAATAGCACCAACAGCAATAGCAGTACCTATACTTACACCGAAAATAAAAATAAAATAAAATTGCAGATATGAAATTGTTTAAGAAATTCTTAAGGAAATAGAAAGAACCAAATCATCACCACATGTAACATATTGTAAAGTGTATTCTTTATCTTTTACTAAAGTCTACTCTATATGAAAAAGATTGCTTGGTTTTTTTTTCAAGTGCACCAAGTTCGTTAGCTGGCCAAACTAAGTGTTTCGGAGTTGAGGTCCAATTCGGTTGGAAAATGCAAGTAAGCAAGCAATTTGTGTTAGCAGGGGCGGTACCAAGGGGCTCGGATAATGTTAGAGTCAGATCTTGAGATAGGGCGGGATAGAGAGATTGAGAAGTGAAACATAACATTAAACTAATGAACGAGGGTTTGGGTGGGTCTGTCTAATAATTCCAGCTTAGGTCGAACCAATTGAAGGTTAATGTTGGACCCGGAATAAGGAAGAAATCGGGCTGTTAGGATTCATTTGAGACTTCATTAACCTTTTAGAACAAAAAAATATATCGAAAATGAAGAAAATTCTACATTTTACATATCATAGAACACAAAAACGTTTTAAACTAGTTGTTAAAGAAACTGTGGATAATCATGCGAATAATTAGGCAATAAGCAATAAGTTATACATATGAGAATAAAACCTCAAGCCAAGTTTCGACTATTATGCCAAACCTATATAAAGGTCTTACTTAAAACGCTTTCAAGTTTGCCAAAAAATGTTTAATAAAAAACAACATTTAAAACACTTACTTCTCCTTCAATTTAATATTTTATTAAATGTATTTCACCTGACCCACCCCTTCTTCAACTTCGAACCACAAACACCGACCAAGCCCCGCCACAGAATAAATACACCTAGGTATTCATGAGTGGCTCATATTCTATTGACTGCGACATATGTTATGTCGTTCACCTTCAACACAGATGACAGTTCAAGTGGCCAATAACCGGAGCTAGGCTATGGCGGTATTGAAGGTCGCAATAGAACAACGCGGTGAAAACCAAAAGCCAAAACCCAATCAGAGTAACATGCTGCAACTGGGATGTGACCCAATTTCGAAACCACACACAACACGAAAACAAACACACACAGACCCAAAAAATAAAAGAATCAAGTTAAAGAGTGACAAATAAAAGAGGAGAGCACGCTTCTATTTTAAGGTTTCGACCGCAAAATGTATTTCACTCTTGGTTCAGTGACTTTGTGTCGGCGGTTTTGAGCAGAAACTCGGCGAAAACCAGTTGGGGGGCAACACTTTCATTCACATTTTCCAGCGAACTGCCCAATTGACCAAATACAACGGATCTGGTTTAAAGGCAATCGGACTGGATATGCGTCGAGGTACAGACTTCCTTGTTTTCGATTTGGCGGTGAATTATGAAATACTTGGCCATAATATCGAAACCCAAACAAAAGTGGTGCGCACTACACTTGAAAACCAAGATGTTTTCCGCATCTCTCCGCCTCGAACTGATCAATTGCAGTCATTTACCAGTTGGCACTAAACTCTGGCTGGACAAATGTCTGGCATCAGGATTTTAATTGACCGCACGACACGCAGAAATATCCATTTGCATGCGTTGGCTTTGAAATTTCGGGGGGAAACCTTTCAAAACCCACCGGGGATGATCCCTATCGCATCCGAAGTGCGCCGGAAAAGTGAAAGGAGTCATCATGAGCTTGCATATTTATTGCACTCGTCTTTATTTATTTATCAAAGCTGTAAATGGCCCCAACTTCGCCTTCGTCTTTCGAATATTGCATAAACACTTTTGGGCTCAAGTGAAAAGTAAAAGTATTCGGGTTGCTTCCTTTTTTGGCGTCAGTTTTTAAGGTCATCAAATATTTCAATCTAATTGGGGTCGAGATGATGGCCGATATTAGTAATAGAGGCTATGGAAATAGATTGTGATGAGATAATCGTAGGGTGTCAGCGGGAAATGATTTATTTGCCAAGAAACCCCACTTCCTACTTGAATTTTTTGATAATTTTTGCTTTGCTTACCCTTTCAGAGCACGACGACATCAACACTCTGCACGGCACCTACCAATATCTGAAGAGCACCGGACAGGTAAGCTTGAGTTCCATAAATCTGATATATCTTGCATTTTGCCATCTCGTCGTAAACATTGTTGCATACATTTCTGGTGGCTCATAAAGCAGAAACAAAAATAAAAAAGAAACCATCAAAAGCGACCGACATGTGGAAAGGTAGCTTCAGCTCCTTGGTGTTTGATACTGCATTTAGACTTTAGCTTATAGCATATAGCATATAGCATATATAGCATATTGCCTGCCCTAAAAATCTCACCCATTCTGTCTCTCTCCGCCGTCTCTGTTGCACTCATTGTGTCAAGCGTGGACTCTCATAAAAATCTGTAGCATTCTCCTCTTGAGACCTCACACACATACAACACAAACAACACCCCACCCACACACACACACACTAGAAATATGCAGTTTAGCCCTCTGGTAGTCTTGTAGCTATCCCTATATCTGTATCCTATACTATACCGACTCTGACTCTAGCCAGCTCTTCTACACTATCCCTCCTAACACTAACCAAACTGCGAAAACTACGAAAACACTTCGACTCTGTCTTGGAATTTTGATAGCTCAGTTCGAATGACGGCATTTTTTTGGTTCGTTAGCTAGTTGCGACATAGACGCGATAGAAAATCGATTTATAAAGATTAAATAGCAAAGGTAAGTGTCCGTTGTGGGGAGGATTAATATTTATGCCCACGTACTCCAGCTGCGAGAGTTACGCTCACCTCTTTGCGAAATTCCTTGAGATATGGGACGCCTCCAGGTGCCTTGTTTGTTGCTTCCAAAAAATTATGCCGCCAACCGCTTAAAGTCTACTCGTCTTTTACAAAACGTTATACTGTATGTTGTTGTCCCACTTGTGTTTGACTCGTTTATGTTCGTGTATTCTCTGTGTCTGTGCTGGGCGCCCACCACCACCAAAGGCAGAAACCTGCAAGCTGAAAACTACTCCAACTCGCACTAGCACTCCCAACTTTTGCAATCCGGCAGCTAACCCACCTGACCGCCGCTCAGCTGAACAACACCCCGCGGGCTCAGCTGGAGACGGTGTTCTTCAATCGCGTCACCAAGACCGGCAGCGAAAAGATGATGGAGTTGCTCAAGATCCTGGCCGCACGCAATAATTTCGAGGCGCGTCGCGATGTAGAAGGACTGTACGAAGTGGTCATAATGCACGACGCCTACGCCAAGAACTTCATCCACACCGACATCCTGAATAGCACCACGGCCAACACCTACACCAAGCACGTGGCCTTCATAGACTTCTCCCTGCTGGACGAGCCCTGGCCGATATATATCAATTTGGTTCGCGACCCCATTGAGCGGCTGGTCAGTTGGTTCTACTATGCCCGTGCTCCGTGGTACTTGGCCGAGAGGCGGGAGACCTTCGGGGAGGCCGTAAAAATGCCCAGTATCGAGTGGCTCAAAAAGGACTTTAATCGCTGCATCGAGGAGCAGGATCCCGAGTGTGTCTATGAGCAAATGGAAATGGGCAACCTCGGGGATCACAGACGGCAATCACTGTTCTTCTGTGGTCAGGTCATGGAGGTGTGCATGTGAGTAGCTGTGCCAGAGGGCGGTGGAATGAAGCTATGGGCCAGGGGATTTGCCAATCGGGATAATTAATATTCAGAATTTAACGTAAAATACCTTTGTATTCTGAATAAGAACTTGTTGACTATTCAGTCAATTCAATTCTCTTCAATAATCAATTCATAACACTTTTATGTAACTCAAAATAGTAAATCAAAGTATCCATACTTGCAAAACTTTCAAGATTATCCATAAGGATTTTCTCTAGCTCTAAAGAGCATCCCCACCTTGGCTGATTTTCCACCGTAGTTAGAGAAGAAAGCAAGTGTAACCCACTTATCCTCAGGCCATTCAATTCCCATGAGGCCATGCAGCGGGCCAAGAAGAATGTGGAGGAGCACTACGCAGTAGTTGGAACCTGGGAGGATACGAATACCACCCTATCGGTTCTAGAGGGCTACATACCACGCTTCTTCGCCGGGGCCAAGGAGGAGTATCACATTTTGAGGCGAAAGTTGGGAGATGTCAACCGGAATTCCTTTAGGCCCACTATCAGTGACAAGGCGAGGGCCCTGCTAAGCCGAAACCTCACGCGGGAGATCGAGTTTTATCAGTTTACCAGGCATCGGCTGTACAAACAGTATATAGCGCTTCAACTGGATGCTAATCCCAAGCTGAGGCTATAGTCGTTAAGGGTTCGTTGAAGACAAATAAAACTATGCTAACTTTCGTAATCCTTCGATCTTTTCCGGTTTAATCCTAACTAGAGCTTGGTGTACTTTTTGATTGCTAGCTTGGGTAGATTACGCACAGACTTAGTCTTATGTCGCATATATCGTCTATGCAGCGTGTTGGACACAATGTTCATGCTCGTCGGAGCAGCGAGGAAGAGTATGCGGATCGCGGAAGCCATGGGCATCATCACGATCACCACTCGCACCACCATCATGTGCACCACCAGGCAAAGATCGGTGATCCCGACCACAAGGCAGCACATGACAAGCAACTGGCTGTTCCAGAAAATAAGCATAAAGAGGATAAGGCTCTCTTCGAAGACGAGGAGGACGATGAAGAGGAGGACGACGATGACTTGGCCGATGGGGTGGCAACCCAAGATGACGGTGGCTTTAATTTCGAAGCCGATCTCCTGAACAACACCAAGTTTGCCGAGTCGGATTTTGTGTTCTTCAACAGAGTCCCGAAGGTGGGCAGTCAATCCTTAATGGAGCTGATGGCCCGATTGGGCAAAATCAATGGATTCAACCACGCTCGCAATAAGGGCGGTGCCCACGAAACGGTCCTGATGAACAAACAGCACCAGGGTGAACTGGTGGCCGACCTCCTGACCCGACCAAAGCCGCACATTTATAGCCAGCATATAGCCTATATTAACTTCACTCGGTTCCATCTGCCCAAGCCAATTTATATTAACTTGGTCCGCGATCCCATCGACCGTATCATCAGCTGGCACTACTATGTCCGGGCTCCCTGGTATTATCGGGACATGCAGGCCAAGCTAGGAGACAAGGCACCGGCCATGCCCTCGGATGAGTTTCTTAACCTCGACCTGGACACCTGTGTGCGGAATCACGACCCACACTGCACTTTCACCCAGGATCAGATCAAAAACCCAGTGGGCGATCATCGCCGGCAGACGCTCTTTTTCTGCGGCATGAATCAGAAGCTGTGCATGTAAGTAGGAAGCAGACAGGGACCTTAATAAGCTCATCATCGCCACCTACCCCTCGATAGGCCCTTTAATTCGGAGGCTGCCATGCAAAAGGCCAAGCGAACGGTGGAGTCGGAATACGCTGTAGTGGGGACCTGGGAGGATACCAATATTACGCTAGCCGTTTTGGAGGCCTACATACCGCGTTTCTTCCGCAACGCCAAGGTTGCCTACTACCGTAAGAATACTAAATCCGACCTCAAGCTGAGGATAGTCTCAAACCCTGTCATATTTTCAGTGGGCAAGGATCGTTTGTCAAGAGTGAATCGCAATAATGTGACTCGAGTCGTTAGCGAGGAGACTCGCGTTATTCTAAGGAAAAATCTCACCAACGAGATCGAGTTCTACGAGTTCTGCAAGCAGCGTTTGTATCTGCAATATGCAGCCTTGAGCCATGGAAAGAAATTTGGGGAAGATGACTACCTCTTGGTGCCAGAACAGCGAAACGATTACAATGAGGAGTATTAGAGGGGATCAATTTCCATTAGAACAAACTCATTTAGTCTAAGAAAGTGTAAAATGTAACTCAACTCAGGATGCCACATAAAATAAACCTAATTTTACAACGTAAGTTCCTTACTGCAAACTAAGTTCAAACCAAAACCTCCCGATCTATAGGATCGATTCTGAATGAAAAGATCCTATTGCTAAAGCTAACCATTATTTCCCGAATGGATGTTACTTTATCTGATTATAAAACACATTCTAGAACTTCTTACAAGGTCCGTTTTTTATTGCTATGAGGAAATACACCCAGTATTCGTTTGCTTTCTGTTTACCCCGTACCTTGCCTAGAGCTTTCTGTGTGTATCTGCATCCGTACCGATATCTGTGCACCTGTCTGTGATTCGTTCTCCTTCTCACACCTGTGCCCTGACCTTTGCAGCTGTGGCGATTGAACCCCAAGTTCCTCAACAACACCAAGTTTCACTCCCGCGATATACTGTTTTACAACAGAGTGCCCAAGACGGGAAGCGAGACCCTGATCGAGTTAATGATTCGTCTGGGCGAAAGAAACGACTACCAAAACGAGCGGGCTCCCTTCTCGAAGCCCGTCGGAATTTACTGGTCCGTGGAGCGTCAGAAAACAGAGGCTCAGCGAATTTTCGATCTGCAGGAGGACTCGGCGTTCGTCTATGTGGAACACATGAACTACATGAACCTAAGGCCGCTCCATTTCCCCCAGCCCATCTTCATTAACTTGGTAGGAACAATAATGTGCTCTTGTAAGGACCTCCCCCACTTAACCGTAAATTTACCAGATTCGCGACCCCATCGAAAGAGTTATCAGTTGGTTCTACTATAAGCGCACCCCCTGGAACTCTGTGAAAATGTTCGAGATCACCGGAATATTTCAGAATCGTTCCCATTATGTGAAGAGTTTTGAGGATTGTGTGCTCACCCACGATCCCGAGTGTCGCTACGATTTCGGTCTTAAGTTCAAAGAAGATTCCGCCGATCACAAGCGTCAGAGTTTGTTCTTCTGTGGACACTCCCCCATTTGCGAGTATGTAGTTCGATTTTCCCATAGTTTCATGTCTTAACTATTAGGTTTCCCCAGGCCATTTAACACGCCGGGAGCCATAGCCAGGGCCAAACAGAATGTGGAGCGTGATTACTCCGTAATTGGTTCCTGGGAGGACGTGAATGTGACTTTGACTGTGCTCGAGCACTATATACCTCGTTTCTTCAAGGGCAGCACTGATGTGTACTATGGTAAATTCCCATTTCAATTAATCAACTTGGGATTAGAAGATATAACTTCATTCTCCCCGTAGAACCCATCAAGGGCCTGGCTTTTAAGAAGCAAAATACAAACCACTGGAAGCCCAAGATTAGCGAACGCATAAAGCGAATAATGCGGGCCAATTTCACTCAGGAATATGAGTTCTATCACTTCTGTAAACAGCGCCTGTATCGACAATATTTTGCAATAAACCGACACTTGCATTTCTAAGGAACCAAGAAAGTCTTTCTTTCTTTTTCACTAACTTTACCCTGGGTTTTCTTGTATTTAATTTTCTGTGTCGATTATTTACCACTCGTTTCCTTGTAATTAGTTTTCTGTGTTGATTATTTCGAATGTTTGGCTAGACAGAAGAGACTCATTTAACTCAACACTTTTAAGCTTGAATACTTGGATGCCGCCCAACTGAATAATACCCCCAAAGCGGACTGGGATTTTATCTTCTACAATCGTCTGGAGAAAACGGGCAGTCAGTCGATGACGCGGCTCATAAATCGCCTGGGCGAAGAAAACGGATTTGAGGCATTTCGGAATATTGTAAGGCCCGCGAAGACGATTTTACATACTGAGGAGGATGAACAGGATCTGGTGGACCAGCTGTCCCAACTCCCATCACCCGCCGTCTACGTGGAGCACTCTAATTGGGTCAACTTTACCAAGCATGAATATCCAACTCCCATCTACATCAACATGGTGCGCGATCCGATCCAAAAAGTGATCAGTGCGTACTATTATCAGCGTCACCCTCTGGTCTTTGCTCAGACTCTGATGCGTAATCCCAAAAAGAAGATGGAGACCAAGAAGTTTTTCGATACCAGTTTCAACGAGTGCGTTAAACAACGGATGGCGCCTTATTGTGTCTTCGACTCCCACAATCCATACAACGGCGACTGGCGGAGGTTATCGCTTCACCTCTGCGGAAATTCGGAAATTTGCACGTAGGTCTTGACGAAATACACTTTAAATTACTACGCCCCAAAACAAGTACCAACGGGATAGTTGTCTGAGCCTTATGTTATGTTATGAAAGCTAGGGTGTTCAACTATAACGAAAACAGATTTTAAATTAAGTTAAATTCCTATCCCCTTAGTACTTGGTTTGGGAATGAACATTTTCGTTGAGCTTCAATGAGTAACTAAATTGTTACCTTGGATACTCCCACATAGACACTTCAACTCTGAAGTCACTATGCAAATAACCAAGATGAATGTGGAACGCGAATACGCAGTGGTGGGCAGTTGGGAGGATACGAATGTCACCTTAGCCGTTTTAGAGGCATACATACCAAAATACTTTTCCAATGCCAGGACGGTCTACTACAGTAGGTTCTCGCCATAATGTTCAATTGATTCGTACCAAACTCAGCTATATCTCTGAACTCTCCTATCTAGGCGACTCGGAAAAGTTTAACATAAACACAGTATCGCATGACACCCATCTGGATGAGGATGTGGAGGCGTATCTGAGGAGCAGTTTCTCCTTCGAGATTGAGCTGTATTTGTTTATTATGCAGCGACTCTACAAACAGTACATAGCGGCATATAAGGACGAATTTCCAGCATTGTAAACATAAGCAAAAATAAATTGTAACGAGCCAAAATAGCTTAACCAGTGATTTTTACACCCCAATTTCAACACGAGTCTTTCTCCTCCTTTCGCTACTAATCATTTTGGATAGCTTGCTTGAATTCACTCTCCGCCGCACCACCCATACAAGAAACCAACTCAAGGGTATACGACACCTTTGCAGATCCTCCAACTTAGTGCTGCGAAACTGAACAATACCCCGAAGGCGGAGATCGATGTATTGTTTTTCAATCGGGTTCCAAAAACCGGCAGCATGCAGCTGATTGAGCTGATGAGACAACTGGGTAAAGTCCACGATTATGAGGTGGAAAAGGATCCTCAGAACGGAGGTGTCATTCCGCTCTTAGAGCCCGCTGCGGAAAGCGACATGATCGACAATATTGTTAACCTAGAAGATGGTACAGTATTCGCCAGTCACGTTAATTATTTGAACTTCACCAAGCATAAGCAGCCCAGGCCCATTTACATTAACATGGTTCGGGATCCAGTGGAGAGGGTGATCAGTTGGTACTACTACATTCGAGCTCCGTGGATCTTTGTGCCCGGAAGGAGGCGTAATAACCGGGAAATGCCAAACCCCAAATGGGTTAACACCGAGTTCGATCAGTGCGTGGAAAGCGGCGAGAAGGTCTGCACTTACATTGAGAATTCCTTGATGGAACGTGTGGGCGACCATCGGCGGCAGACCTTGTTCTTCTGCGGTCAAAACGAGTTCAAATGCACGTGAGTTAGGTAGCTTTATCCCAATTTCTGTAATTCTTCGAACCGTTCCGTAGGCCCTTTAATGCTCGGCTGCCCCTGCAATTAGCCAAAATGAATGTGGAGCGAGAGTACTCTGTGGTGGGAACTTGGGAGCACACGAATGAAACCCTCGCTGTTCTAGAGGCCTATATACCCCGCTATTTTGCGGATGCCTCCAAGATGTATTACTGTAAGTTCCGTTAGGGCTAACTCTGAAGAAGGAATATTTTCAATATCAAAAGTAGGTGAGCAAGTCAAATCAAAAAATCAAATCAAATACCAGAGATCAAGATGCGTAACGCCGAACGATATTTGAGCATTCTAATTTTTTCGAAGAGAGATCTGCCTGGCAGCTTAGGTGCTTGTGGTCTCCTTACACATGTAAGCTAGTGAGGGCGTTATGCTTCTTATTCTTTATTATTTGTTTATATACCCTTTTTCCGGGAATACTCATTTTTACTAGATGAAGTATACGCGTAAATGTTCAATACGTTCTGTATAATTGATTTTTGAATGGGTTCTTTCTTCAGAGTTTAGAGCCTATAAAAGAAACGGATAATTAGGAACGTTTTTTCACAGCGGGGCTACACGCCGATCACCAGAATACCAATCCCATGAAGCCGCATATTTCTCAGGAAATAATCGACATGGTTCGCCGAAACTTTACACGGGAAATAGAATTCTATCAATTCTGTCGTCAGCGCTTACATAAACAGTATCTAGCCCTTAAGCTGAATGATCTCAAAAAGTTTGACAAAAGTCTTTCCAGACTAAGTGAGGCCAATGAAATGGCCATTAGTAACTAATTTAATAAGACATTTTTATTTCACAAAGTTTATTAATAAAGAAAAAGGGATGATAAAAGCAATATTTTAAATGGACTAATAACTGAAATCAATTCTTGATTTCGAAAGAAATTGGGAAATTCTTCTTTAATGCTAAGCAAACTAAGAAATTTAGGAAATTATATCCCATGGTACGATATAATTTTTTGACTGTACAAATATCCTTTGCTTTCATCTTTCTAAAGCTCTGTTCAATGATTTGCTTTGAATTGAATTAAATTCACTATTGCTTCATAACCAAAAGAAGGAAATAGGTCTATCGCTTCTCTCCCTGACCTTCGCCACACTATGAAAAATTGTATAGGGTTTTATCTATCGCTTAATAATCCGAAAAGGGGAAGAGTTTTCTTTTTCGCTTAATAACCCAAGGAATGCATTTAGAGGAAATTGATAACTTACACGCCGGACCTTGAGTATACTCGAATAGCTCATCTTGTTCAACTCAACTTCAGCTTCACCTACTGAGCGCAAGTCGCCTCAACAACACAAAGAATGCCGACATCGAAGTGTTGTTCTTTAATCGAGCCGCCAAAGTCGGAAGTGAGTCTATGCTAGAACTTTTCATAGCCCTGGAAAAGTACCACGACGACCTTACCCTGGACCGGCACGGATTGCAAACGAAAACTGTTCGTCAAATGAATAAACCTGCAAGGCGTGAGTCCGCGGAGTATATTGCCGACTTGGAGGAGGGAACCATGTACATAGAGCACATCAATTGGTTGAACTTCGATGAGTTTGATTTGCCCAAACCCATTTACATCAATTTGGTCCGTGACCCGGTGGAAAGAGTCATAAGCTGGTACTTCTACGCACGTGGTTCCTACAAAAATGCCATAGAGTACAGAAAACATCCGGAACAAAAGCTAAAGCCGGAGTCCTGGTATAAAAAGGATTTCAATGAGTGCGTTCGGAGCGGAGATCCGGAGTGCCAGTATGTGCCGCATACTTTCAAGGACCCGGTTGGGAATTTCAAAAGGCAATCGTTGTTTTATTGTGGCCATCACGATGATTGTATGTAAGTAGATAGGACATTCATGAAGCTTAATTGCTTTCGGAGACGAGATGCTAGCTAACACCATCTTTTAGTCCCTTCAACTCACCAACTGCTGTGCAAATGGCCAAGGAACACGTGGAACGGGACTACGCTGTAGTCGGAAGTTGGGAGGATACCAATATAACCCTAACCGTACTTGAGAACTATATTCCCCGATTCTTTCGCAGTGCCAAGCTGATGTATGAAAGTATGTCTCCAAAGTTCGTAGCAACGAAGAAACTATTACTTAATTATATATAACCCCATCTCGAAACAGTGCACAGCAACAAGATCACCAATCGGAACAAGAACAAGCGCAAGCCCTATATTGACCCCGAGGTAAAGGCTATGATTCGCAAGAACTTCACCAACGAGTACGACTTCTACTATTTCTGCAAACAGCGGTTGTACAAGCAGTATCTGGCTCTGAATCTCAAAGAGCTGGAGAAGCATGGACTTTTGTATTAGTTGGTTTAGAGCCAGAAATTTAGATTGTAGTCAGTGATACATTATGCGAACAAAACTTACCCTTCCAATAAATAGTACCCAGTAAATCAGTAGACTAGACCCACACTATCCGTACCCGTACACGTTGAACCCATCTAAGTGTCTCATTGTTCCTTGTGCTGTGTGGCATGCTACCCTCCCATGAAGCTTCTAAACCCTTACCATACCCCCCAATCAGTTAGGTGACCTAACACCCCGTCGCCTAAACAACACAGCCAAGGCCGAAATGGATCGACTCTTTTTCGCGAGATGCGCCAAGGTGGGCAGCGAATCGCTGATGGAGTTCATGGAGCATCTGCAGGATATCAACAACTTTCGCGTAGATAGGACCGGATTTAACAAAAGGACGAAAAGGCAACTGAAACCCCTGGCCCAGGCGGAGGTCGCAGGCTACGTATATAACATGGAGGAAGGATCCGTCTATATAGAACACATCCCTTGGATCGACTTCAATGAGTACAACCTCCCCAAGCCGATCTTTATTAACCTTGTGCGAGATCCTGTGGAGCGCATGATCAGCTGGTATTACTACGTCCGCAACTCCTATAGGAATGCCATATTCTACCGAAATAACCCCCTGGCCCCGCTGAAGCCCACGGCCTGGTTTAAGAAGAGTTTCAACGACTGCGTGAGAAGTGGGGACCCAGAGTGTCAGTATGTACCATTGGCAGTTACCGATAAGGAGGGAAACTTTAAAAGGCAATCTATATTCTTCTGTGGTCACGATCAGGATTGCTTGTGAGTGCTGGAAGGGGGTAACGTTATGAGAAGTGTTGGCTAACCAGAAACCTCTTTCAGGCCCTTCAACTCCCCGCTGGCTATTCAGATGGCCAAACGTAGGGTTGAGTCAGAATTTGCAGTAGTGGGAACTTGGGAGGAGACCAACATAACTCTGACCGTTCTAGAGCACTATATACCCCGTTATTTCGCTAGAGCCCAAATGATCTTCCACAGTAAGAAATTATTATAGAGATATCATAAAGTTAGCTCACACATCTTCCGTTTATAGTGTACCAAAAGTCCCTACAGAACCGCAATCGCAATAATCGAAAACCGCATGTGGACGCAGATGTCAGGGCCATGGTCAGACGTAATTTTACCCACGAATATGACTTTTACTACTTCTGCAAACAGCGTCTTTATACGCAGTACATAGCCCTTAAACGAAAGGAACTGGAGGGACTTATTCACCCCTAATCGTATAAGACTGACCTCTCTTTAGTTGTTTCGATGTAGTTCATTCTGTAGCTCGTTAATAAAGTACTCATTAGTAATTGTAACTAACCTGTAGGAAAGCGCGTGGGGAGATATTAGCTAAATACAATCCCAACTCCCAAATCCAGCTCGATTCGTTGCGGAGTGAACGTTTAAATAACACTCGACATTCCCAACTGGACGTGGTCTTCTTTAATCGAAACGCCAAGGTCGGAAGTGAGGCCCTAATGGAACTTACCCAAACCATGGCGCCCCATAATAATCTGACAGTGCTGACCAAGGGCCCTCTGAACATTAATTCTCGCACCCGATCGCCTCCGGAACAAATGGTACAGGCTCTTTGGATTAACGAGCTAGATTCGGGCACTATATACATCGAACATTGCAATTGGCTGAACTTCCACAGATATCAGCTACCGAGACCCATCTACATAAACCTGGTTCGAGATCCGGTTGAGCGAATGATCAGTTGGTATTACTATGTTCGCAGTGGCTATCGCAACGCTATCCACCATCGGCGATTTCCCAACACCACTATCAAATCGGAGAAGTGGTTTAAAAAGAGCTACAACGACTGTGTTCGTAGCGGAGACCCCGAGTGTCAATACGTTCCGGGAAGTGTAAAGGAAGCGGAGGGTAATTACAAGAGACAAACCCTTTTTTTCTGTGGTCACAACCGTGAATGCTTGTAAGTAGTTCTGGAAGGAAAAGGGTTTCCGTAAAGAAATCTTCAATTGGAGGTGGTATATTGCAGGCCCTTCGACTCTCAACGTGCCATTCAGCTAGCTAAGATAAATGTGGAACGGGACTATGCGGTTGTGGGTACTTGGGAAGAGACGAATATAACCCTAACTGTACTTGAGGCCTACATTCCAAGATTTTTCAAAGGAGTCAGGGATATATTTGAGAGTAGGTATCGTCTTCTAATTCCAAATGTGCTACATTTTTGGGGGGTTCGGAAATATGGAATTGAAGTCGAAACACTTAGATTTAATCGGTACTTGAACACTTTAGAATCTGTTGGCCCCTGGGATAGGAAATTATACTTACACTCCATACACTCCGTGTCTCATCAACCCGCATTTGTGTGTTAGTTTGGACCTCTGCTGAAAAAAACATGATCTTCCCAGCTCGGACGGGTGACCCTAATGAATTTAAATAATACCCGATTCGCGGCTCTTGAAGTGGTGGTCTTCAATCGCCCAACCCGAGTGGAAAGCGAGCAAATGATGCCACTTTTCCGGCAACTGGCCGCTATGAATGATATCAATGTGGTGCTCAATGGACCCGTGCGAACGATGAATAGGACCCGCACTGAAACGGAGCAGCTCACCGAATTGGAGTGGGCCAGTGAACTGGAGAAGGGATCAATCTATATGGCACACTCCAACTGGCTGGACTTTGCAGGCTTTGGCTACAAGAAACCCATCTATGTTTCCTTAGTGAGAGATCCAATAGATCGGGTAGTCACTGATTTCTACAAACGCCGCTCTTGGGTGAAGAGAGCCATATTCCGAAGGATGTATCCGGGGCGTCGGGAGAGGCCAGAGGAATGGTACAATCTAAGTTTCAGTGAGTGTGTGAGGAGTGGAGATCCGGAGTGCCGATTTGTCCAGTATTCAGTATCTGACTATGTCAAGGACTTTAAAAGGCAATCCCTTTACTTTTGCGGCAACGAAGCCGATTGCTTGTGAGTTAAATCTTCGTGTCTTTTGAAAACATAAATATAAACAATCTGTAGGCCCTTTAATTCTCACCATGCCGTACAAGTAGCCAAACGTCGAGTGGAAAAGGAATATTCCGTGGTGGGAACTTTGGAGGAAACCAATATAACGCTGACTGTTTTTGAAAAGTATATCCCCAGGTTCTTCAATCACGCTCGTTTCCTATACAAACGTAGGTAGTCCCAGGGGTCTCAACACAAAACCAGAGTTCAAGTACCTCCCAGAACATAGAAATATTACATGAATACTTATTTTCCAGTGAATAGCAAGAGTATTCGGAATCGGAATCGCAATAATCGCAAACCTCGCATTGACCCTGATGTTAGGGAGATGGTAAGAAGAAACTTTACCAACGAATACGAGTTCTACTACTTCTGCAAGCAGCGTTTGTACAAACAATATCTGGCCCTGCAACTCGAGAATAATCTTAGTTGAAAATAGTATTGAAACATAAGAATCCCCAAAATTGTATCATTCGCGTTTCTACTGAGAATATTGCTACTGAATAAATAAAAATACCATGAATAATACATACTTCTCTTTACATTTAATGCAATTGCACAAATCGTCAGGAATTCTCGTTCCCTTACAACATATAAACTTATTAGGTTTTAGATTTTAGGAAAATTCAATACCCCTTTAATTCCCAAAAATGCGTATCAAACCCCAAGGACTTGAAGGTAACGAATAAATTTAAAACTTTGCCATATTTCACCTTTGGACGTGCAATAACTCTATTTCAAAATCCTTCCCAGATGTCTTCCCTTAATGTGCGGGATCTGAACAACACCCGTAAGGCACAAATGGACTTGGTCTTCTTCAATCGAGTTCCAAAAGTGGGAAGCCAGACATTCATGGAGCTCCTGCGTCGGCTATCAGAGCGTAATAATTTTCAGTTCCATCGAGATGCTGTCCAAAAGGTGGAGACCATTCGATTGGCGGAGGACCAGCAGCAGGAAATGGCTGAGGTAATCAGCGAGCTGCCAGAACCGTCGGTGTTCATTAAGCATGTGTGCTTCACAAACTTTACCAAATTCAACCTGCCAAAACCCATTTACCTGAATGTGGTCCGAGATCCCGTGGAACGAGTGATCAGCTGGTTCTACTACGTGCGAGCGCCTTGGTATTTTGTGGAGCGTAAGGCTGCCTTTCCCGACCTCCCGCTGCCCCACCCGGCTTGGCTTAAGAAGGATTTTGAGACGTGTGTCCTCAGTGGCGATCAGGAATGTACATACACTCAAGGAGTTACAGTGGAGGGCATTGGCGATCATCGGCGACAGAGCTTGTTCTTCTGCGGTCACGACTACGAGTGCACGTGAGTTATAAGATAAGATATATAGATGGTTCAGTCCTTAATAAGCTATATTTACACCTCTCTAATCTATTTTGATGCTTATTTTAGTCCCTTCAACACTGTGGGTGCCCTGGAACGAGCCAAATTTGCCGTGGAGCAACAATATGCGGTTGTCGGAGTACTAGAAGATCTGAACACCACACTCTCTGTGCTCGAGAAATATGTACCGCGATTCTTTGAAGGCGTTAGAGATATTTATGCAAGTAAGGGATAAGAAGGGATATTTAATTGAGCTCGTTAAATATATAAACTACTTTGGTAAAGATTCGAAAAAAAAACAATATAAGGAATATTAATACCTTTAAAAAGTTTTTAGCAGTTTGAGACACATCTGTGGCATCGTATTTCTTATAAAGTCTTATACAATTGCAATAAATTCTTTAATTATACCTTAAAATATAAACATCCACATATACTTTTAAACTGCTTTCAAAATCACTACCACAATTCGGTAGACTTATTTCTGAGTGGCACAAAACTGTATTAAAATATTAATAAATTGTTGTAATGCCTGAGGCCACTTGAAGTAAATAAAGTGTTGCACAATTTGCGATGCTTTGCGGACTTGAAATTCTCGAATAAGCTATATCAGCTTTAAATATTAACCATTACTATGTATTTGTTTATGTCGTTTTACAGCAAGCGCCGAGTATTTGACCAAGATAAACAAGAACAACTTCAAGCCGCCGGTCAGCGAGCATGTGAAGGATATAGTGCGACGCAACTTCACGAATGAGATCGAGTTCTATCAGTTCTGCCGCCAGAGGCTGCATAAACAATATCTGGCTGCCCACTTACCGCAGCGGATTATCACAGACTCGGCACATCTTCCCGCCCTGATAGGCAACTGAACTACATATGTATTCGAACGAATGTAAAGAACAAATATGACAAACAAAATCATACTCGAAACTGTAGTCAGCTAAGTTCCCCCATATGTTGTAGCAAATTGATTGTTTTCTCTTGTGTATATTTCAAAGTGGTTATCAAAAATATGACAAATCCCTCTTATATTTATATTGATTAGTAAGTACTTAATGTTAGAAAGACCTGAATTTGAATTGTGATGTCTTCAAGTGAACTGTTGAAATTTTTGTTTTAGTATTTTAGGCTTAAGATGCTTACGATAATACCGTGTATAAACTAATAAAATAATATTTTAAGAACACTTCCTCTTTGTACTATTTGACTTCTAAGGGACTGGAAAATAACAAGAAATGATAATGATAATATTAACTCAACATAGCGTATGAAATCAACGACTTTTAACATAGTTTAATACAACATAATGTTAACAGTAGTACAATACTATCTATAACGCAACCTAACGAGACTCCATAATGTCAAAAAATATACTTTAATAAAATATAGAAACCAAAATAGCAACGATATAATAATGTACGTTTGGTTGACTGCCTTAAGAAGAACTATTCTATGAACTTGGTTTTCTCTGGTCGAGACTTATTACTCTAACTTATAGCACTTGTTGATCATGGTCGGTGTCTCACATCGATTGATAGGGCGCTTCTTGCTGTGAAGGAATCAATGGAATGCCATTTAATATTAGGAATTAGGATGAACAAGAATTATATACCCACCGCTTATTGCCAAAGAAAGCGAAAGACGTATCTGATTTCATAGCCTCCCACGGTCCAGGTATTAATCGCTGCACTCGTATCACATTCGATTCTGAGCACTCACTGGCCGATATCTCTGCCATTCTTTGCGGTTCCTGAATATAAATCGAATCGGGATCCATTTTAATGATGTTTAGAATGTTTTCATCATGAAGTTGCAGCCAATCTGGGGCTTCCGATCGAAGGTTCAATAGCTCAGGAGCCAGCCTTCGCACAGCTTTGGAAAAAATAACATCCAAAGCACACGCAAGTGGATGTTGATAGACTGCTACGTGGAGGCGCGATCTTGCCTCGAACAAACGATATATCCGATGATAGTCTTGATAACGATACTCGATGCGTTGACCATCCGCCGATATGCGCGACTGAAGAAAAACATCATCAAAGTCCATTTCGTCGGAGGTAAGGACCTTCAGACGCTTGTTGTCCCGTCTCAGATAGTCCCACTTGTCCACATCCAATCCACAACGGCGATTGTGGACAATATCAAAAATATAGTTATGACCCAACATGGGGAAGGTCAGAGATTCATTGCAGCCGAGAATCAGAGCCTTAATCAATTGAACTCCCCGGCCACTGGCGTCATCTCTCAAAGAGACCAGCTCTCGGTTATGGGCATCATTAAAGATGCGATCCACACAGGCCAGTGCATTTTTCTCGTGCTTTAAGATTTAGGATTAAGATATAAATATATATATAATTATTTTCTCTGGATTCACTCACATCGAATTTGTAGTCACAAACAGATTCCCAGCAATGGGACATGGGACCGTGGCCGACGTCGTGAAGAAGGGCAGCTATTTCCACCGCCTGGCGACACCAATCCGGTAGCTTAGGTTCATAGCGCGAGTTGCGTTGGATGGCCTTAAGGTGATCTTGGGCACTCTTGTAAGTTCTGAAATTTACATACATATAAGTTTGATTCTGATTTAAATTAGTCGTTTCTATAGCTTACCCCAAGCAGTGATCATATCGCTTTTGATTAGCCTTTTTGTCAAGCGCCCACGGTACAAGGCCCAATTGATGAACCCTCTTTAGTCGTTGGAACAGTGGATGCTCTACGATTTCCTGTATGTAACAGGGCAGCTCGATTATTCCGTGCACTTCGTCTTCGATGAGCATCTATAAAATGGAAGGCGTTCCTTAATTATACATTTATTTTGACAAATTTAAATAAACAAAAACTAAATTTTAATTTTCAATAGAAGTTTCCCATACCGATCTGTTGCGGCTTTTGTTCTATTTAATGTTTGTTTCGTTTTAAATTTGTTGACTATATTTAAACAAATGGCCGAACCAATACTATTCACTTGCAATAATTTGGCTAGATAGCATAGTCTAGTTTTACGATATAACTTTTATCAAAATAACAGAATTTATGGCGTACGCAAAGATGTAATAGCAATTAATAAACACCTAGAACGACACAGTAATTCAAAATATCTTATCTTCCTATTTATTTATTAATTACTGTCACCGCTGGTCGCTAACCGAACTGAATCACATGAGATGTTGAAAATAATTTTCGGATTTTAAACATGAGGTTAATGAAACAAACGAATTTGCTTTAGTATACAACAACACAAATTTATATTGAAGAATGCACTCATCTAAAGTTTAGGTACGGTTTACTCGTATTTATGCTGGTTAAAAGAAAAATATAACATCTGTTTTTAAATGCACACTCTTAGATTTACAATTTTTTCAACTCAGAAGTTTTTCAATTATTTCCTATAATAAATACCTTAAAAATCGTGAAATCAAGATTTAAAATACAAATTTAGTAATTGAGCACTTAAACATAAAATACAAAAATTTGAATTTTTCACCGGCTTAAATGTTTATTTCCAGTACATTAACACAGTAAATGAAGAATATACACAAATATTTCATGCTTAATGCGCTTTCAACAACGACCAAACTAGAACTGAGCTCTCAAGATTTCATTTTCTATCTTTCTCTTAGACTTTCAAGCTTTTCCTTACACTGGAAATTACTAAGAAAAACTGTTTTTATGCCTCAAGTGACGCAAAGTGGCGACTTTTCTCTTTTTTCGTTACAAAAATCATAACTCTTGAACCAAATAAAATTATTGAATTATTTAAACGGCATTTGACAGGTAATTGTTGTAAAATTTATATATGTACTGCACAATGTGCCACGCCTACCAATTCGCCTTTTTATAGGGTATAAAAGTGAAAAAAAATTTTTGTTTTCTATGAAAATGCATTTTTTAAAACTAAAGTTTATTAATTTTGTTGCCTTATTTTTGTTTATTTGATCAAATACAAATATTTTAAACACTAAAAAACTATATTTTTTATTTTTATTGTTTTTATATATTTTTTTAATTGTTTATTTCATTTTGATTTCTATTCAACTCCGAATTTCTGAACTATAATCAGGTGATTCTATTTCTTTTCGAGACGGGTCAGATTATGCAGCCAATTGGTTGAATATTTCCTCATTTGCTTTACTTTTCACTATATTTTGGTAAATTTTACCCTGAGTTGTTTTGGTTTTTTTGCTTCGCATTTCCAGAGTCGCGGCTCGACGCAGCCGATGAAAACTGATTCTGATTCAGAAAAGATACACGCAGTGCGTAGCCAAGCTTCAGATTTTATAAACTACTTTTTCCAGAAAAGGTTGAAAATAATGAACAACTGGACAGAGCGCAGACGTTAGCCCTACTGAAAATCTATGACACCATCTTAACCTAAAATTCCAGGAGGATCGGAATTCTTCAGAAAAAGGAACTTAGTGGAAGAAATGGTCGAATATGTACATACATACATATATCCTAAAAGAGGTGTCCAAAATGGGTAAAGTGAAAAACAAATTCTGGTAAATCTGTCAACAACAACAAGAACCACAAATTATTGTTCGTTGTGTAAATACTTTTGGCTGCCGCTGTATGTATAGTAGTGAGAATAGTCAGAAGACCATCTTCTTAGTTTCATTCAGATAGCTGTAAAACTGAGGAACTAGTTTTCTTACAACCGGACAGACGGGCATGACTAGATCGACTCGACAGAATATTGAATATACATACTTTATAGAATCGGAAATCCTCCTTCACTATGTTGCAAACTTATAACTTAAATTATAATATCCTGCAAGGGTACAAACCAATAAATATAAAAGAAAACAAGAAAGGAAGCTAACTTCGGCACGCCGAAGTTTGTATACCCTTGCAGATATTATTTCATTACAATTTCCCTATACGTATTATGTTTACAGTTTTACATTCCCAGTTTTACATTTTCTCTACATCTATCGATCGTTTCTATGGCAGCTATATGATACAGTTGTCCGATTTTCATAAAATTTATAACAAAATTCTGAAATAATAAAATAAGCTTATTTCTTAGAGTAGATGAAAATAAAGGTATAATTTTTTTCTATTTATTTCGACTATAAGATATAGTCGTTCGATTTTTATAAAATTTGGTATCGAAATTCTAAAATAATCAGGCCTGCTCCGGTAATCGAAAACGGCAAGAATTTTTCGTTTTCGTTTTTGAAAACGAGAAATTGGTGCTCCGGTAATCGAAATCGAAAGATTTTTTCGATTTGAAAAACGGGCACCTTTTTCTGGCCGGAATGAAAAGTAAATGGCTTTTTCTATATGAAATCAGATCTTATTTACAAAAGGAAAAAAATAGTTTACTCAGTGGTCTATTGATGTTTATTCCACAACACCATAAGATCATTCTGGCAGGTAGTTATTTTATAAAAAATTTATTTCTGACCCCACCTCAGATTTGACAACACAATTTTTGCCGTGTTCAACCAGTTTTCTCGTTTTGGCGATAGGTCGATAAGTTCACCGCAAAAAGTTATCGCCAAGGTTGCCATATTGTTGGTGGAACGAAACAGCCAGTTAAAAATACTTATAAAATATAAATGAATACATTAATAACTTTAAAGGACCGCCAAAATGGTTGTTTATAATTAATGCTATTTAATGTGATTACTTAAATGGTCCAAATTAATCAAATAATTATTTGAGACCACCGGAATTAAAACTGTGAAAAGTGTGGCAGCATCTTAGGTGCATAGATTTGCTAAACTCTACCATTTTTTGCCTTTTTCTGGCTTATAAAAAGGGCAATTGTAAATAAAACAGGCAGTACTTTACGTTGTTTGCTAATTACCAAAAACACAAGCTAGCTGCTTGAGCAGTGAGAAACGATGAGAAACGAAACATTCCGATAGCAGAAATTTGCCGAAAACCGGAGCAGCTAAAAACGAAAACGGTTCGTTTTCGCCCAAAACGAAATCGAAAAAATTTTACGATTACCGGAGCAGGCCTGAATATAAAATGGCCATATCTAAAATATGATGCAAAAATGTTGAAAAAGAGCAAAGTTATAATTATTTTTCTAAAAATTTATCGAACATTTGTATGGCAGCTATATGATATAGTCGTCCGATCCGGCCCGTTCCGACATATATAGCAGTGAGAGTATATAGAAGCCTATATGCAAAGTTTCATTCAGATAGCTTTAAAACTGAGGGACTCGTTTGCTTAGAAACGGACAGACGGACAGACGGACATGGCTAGATCAACTCGGCTGTTGATGCTGATCACCAATATTTATACTTTATAGGGTCAAATTACTCCTTCGGTACGTTGCAAACTTATAACTAAAATTAGAACACCCTGCAAGGGTATAAAAATAATTATAAAAAAATAATACAAATATTTTATAACCGTGATTTCCTTCCCGTTTTTCTTAGTATCTTTTTAATCAAATGATATTTTTCCAATATATATAATATTAATATATATAATATTAAAATAGCCACCAATTTTTCTCAGTGAAACCACAGCTAAATAGCACAGCTGTCCCGTTGCCTTAGCAACCAACAACACGGCGTGTAAACTTACAGAGTGGCGGGATGGTGGTTGTTGTACCCCATGCTGTGGTTGTTGTTGTTCTTGGGAAAGCGGGAGAATGGAGCTCTGAGGGGGCTCACGGAGTTTGCGCGGGAGGGAGCGAATCACTGCACTTGCCGACATCTTATTTGGATTCCTGATTTTTGCTCTGAACAGTCCGCGCCCAAAATAAAACCGGAAGTAGGAACAGCACGACGTTTTGTATGTTTTATAACAACGACATCAGAAATTTGTTGATAATTTTTTTTTTTGTCTTTTTCGTAACCTCAAACAACCAGTGATATTTTTTCTGAGCAAAAAAGCTAGATTATCCAAAATAAACAGCTAAAAAAAGGCTAGTTCCAATTGGAAATAGCTAAGAAAAAAGGGTAATTTTAAAAATATTAAAAAAAACACACAAATGTAAAAAAAGTGTAATTTAAAAATAGACTAATTACTCTGCCCTTTCTGAGATATCTCCTATTTGATTTACACTTCATTGAGTAGAGTTTATGAGTCCAAAGGTTTTTTTCACTTTCGTACATTTTTTAATCAAAAATAGGTATAATTGTATCATGGATTAGTACGTTTTTCTAGACGCACTCTAAATTTAAATAAATATTTTTTAAATGCTTCTTTACCTATTCCTCTTTATTTCGGGAAGATCGGCAATAAAATACTATTTAATTTAATTTTAAAAAGTCAACTTTAATTTTCTTTAAATTCGTACATTTTTTTAATATTTATTAGTTTCTATTTATAATTAGTATTTATTAAATTAATATTCAGCAAGAGTAAACGTTCATGTTAAAATGTCAAAACTAATCTTACACGCTAACAGAAGAACAGTGTCAAATTTGTTAGTTAACATTTTTTTGGGGTCGAATTCTCATGTAAAATGTTAGTTAACAGAAAAATTCTCTCGTTCACAGAATAGAGCGTAAATTTTGCTGTGAGAACAGCTGTTTGGCCTATCGATTATCGATTACCGTAAAAGCTGCGCCAAACAGTGTTGCCAGGCGAAAAGCGCCGGTATTAGCTAGATTTTTGAAAATAATAAGCTAGAATAAGCTAAAATAAAAAAAAAATCTAAAAAACAACAAGGTCTTTTGGGGGGGGGTAAGGTTAATTCGGTGCAATACGGGCCACTTTTCAAAAATTTATTATGGCGAAACGGCTTAAGTTTGTATTGAAAAATATTTAGAGTTATAGGGAATCTCCCGAGTCACCTCCAAAAAAAGTTGGTTTGCGGTGTACATCCTAAATGTCCACAAAATCATCCGATCTACAAATATTATACCTCATTCCCGAGTTATTCACGAAACGTTTTTATTTTTAAAATTTTTTCCCGATTTTGTATCAAAATTTGAAGTCAAAACCCCTATTTTTGACTCAAAAAATTAGTTAATCTTACCCCCCTTAAGCAAACACCCTCTTATTCGGCCTGGACAGACGCCACATACCGCATTTTTTTTCATGCATTTGTCCCTTAATCCTAATTAAAAAAAAAATAATTATAAAAGAATTAATTATAAAAGAATTAATTATATAACAGAATTATTTTTTTTTTTTTGTAAAAGGTGATTTTCCCTCCTCTATTTTTTCTATGCGATGTTTCGCTACCTAATCCTAATTACTTAAAATCCTATGATACAGTTGTTGTCACTTGTTCCCTACGTCCGATATTATATTCCCTCAACCTATTTGTTGTGTTGATCATCTGTTATTATTTATATGTATGTCCCCTACCTAACTTAAATATCCTATTTTTTTATCAACCATGCTACTTACTACCGGGACTCGAACCCGGACCGGCGGCGCATGGGGTTCAACAAACACCGTTAGGGTGTCGTCTCTACCCATTGGGCTACCCCGGCGGCAATGTGAGAGCTTTCAGAGATCTACTTGAACCTCACCTCCCAGCATTAAATAAATAATTTAAATAAAAACTCCCCGAGATATTTTGAAATACCGGGGGTTTCGAACCCGGAGCGGCGGCGCATGGGGTTCCCAAGACCCGTTTGGCTGTCATCTCTACCCACTAGGCTACCCCCGGCAGCAAGGTGACAGCTTTCGAAAACCTACTTGAATCTCACCTACTAGGATTTCCGGTTTCCTGTGTTATCGAAAAAACTCAGTTAGCGTTGGGGCAGAGTTCAAAAAGTGATTTCAAGGGCGTTTTTTAAAAAGTTTGAATAAAAACGTCAGGAGGAAACAGGTTGAAATGCAAATATTTTGTTAAATTCTGTCTCGGCCAGTGGCCCCGCCACGCCCACGCAGTCCTCGTCGTCGAACGTGGCGTCTAGAAGCAGACGCGACGCAAGCGGTCGCAGAAGAAGTACACCATCACGGACGACGACGATGACGATATGGCGAGCTACCGCTGGGCGTGATCTTCAAGCGCGCCGTCTCCTCGGATAACGATGGCGGCCTGGGCAATTAATTTTTAGTTTAAGTTCAACCATTACTCTCGGGGAAGATGCTTACCGAAATGCTAATTGCATAAACATTTCACTAAACACAAACAAGGGCTCTGACTACTTTGTCTTTCTGCTCTCTACACGCGCCGGTGGCCTGGGCCTCAACCTGCAGACCGCCGATACTGTAGTGATCTTTGACTCTGACTGGAACCCGCATCAGGACCTGCAGGCCCAGGACCGAGCACATCGTATCGGACAGCGCAACGAGGTGCGCGTTCTTCGGCTGATGACCGTGAACTCCGTGGAGGAGCGCATTCTAGCTGCGGCCAGGTACAAGCTAAACATGGATGAGAAGGTTATCCAGGCCGGTATGTTCGATCAGAAGTCGACGGGCAGCGAGCGACAGCAGTTCCTTCAGACGATCCTGCATCAGGACGACAACGAGGAGGAGGAGGAGAATGAGGTGCCCGACGAGGAGATGATTAACATGATGATTGCCCGCAGCGAGGAGGAAATCGAGATATTCAAGCGCATGGATGTGGAGCGCAAGAAAGAGGACGAGGAGATCCATCCGGTCAGGGAGCGACTGATCGACGAGTCGGAGCTGCCGGATTGGCTGACCAAGGACGATGGCGAGGTGGAGCGATTTCACTATCAGTACGATGAAGATACCATTTTGGGTGAGTCCCCCTTTATTTATATTTCTTATTTTCTTGTATTTAAATGCATTATTATTTACTGTGTTAGGTCGCGGCTCCCGACAGCGCAAGGAGGTGGACTACACGGACAGCTTGACCGAAAAGGAGTGGCTTAAGGCTATCGACGATGGCGCCGAGTTCGATGAGGAGGAGGAGGAAGATGACTCTAAGCGGAGCAAGCGACGCAAGCGCAAGAATCGCAAGGAGGAGTCGGACGACGATTCGTTGATATTGAAGCGTCGCCGACGCCAGAATCTGGACAAGCGCTCGAAGAAGCAGATGCACAAGATCATGAGCGCCGTGATCAAGTACACTCAAGACGGACGCACACTTTCCGAGCCCTTCATGAAGCTGCCCTCGCGCCAGCGGCTGCCCGACTACTACGAGATCATCAAGCGTCCGGTGGATATTAAGAAGATCCTCCAGCGCATCGAGGACTGCAAGTACGCCGATCTCAATGAGTTGGAGAAGGACTTTATGCAGCTGTGCCAGAATGCCCAGATCTACAACGAGGAGGCGTCCCTCATCTACCTGGACTCCATTGCCTTGCAGAAGATATTTGTGGGAGCCAGGCAGCGCGTAACCGCGGCGGCGGATGCGGCCGCAGTGGCAGCCGGTGAGAACACCGGAGAGGCGCAGGGAAATGGCGGCGGCGGAGGCTCGGATAACTCGGACAACGAGGATGACGGCGATGGGGGAGATGACGGCTCAGACGATGAGGAGATCGCCACCACCTGTGCGGCGGCTGTCAAAATGAAGTTGAAACTCAACAAGTCTCTGGCCAGTGCCCCCGCCACGCCCACGCAGTCCTCGTCGTCGAACGTGGGCAGCAGTGGGGCCGCAACCACATCCAAGAAGCAGACGCGACGCAAGCGGTCGCAGAAGAAGTACACCATCTCGGACGGCGACGATGACGATATCGACTAGCTACCGCTGGGCGTGATCTTCAAGCGCGCCGTCTCCTCGGATAACGATGGCGGCCTGGGCAATTGATTTTTAGTTTAAGTTTAACTATCACTCTCGGGGAAGATGCTTACCGAAATGCTAAGTGCATAAGCATTTCACTAAACACCTTCCACCCCTCTATCCAGCTATCGCTATCCATCAATCTGTCCTAGTAATAGGTTCCTCTTAGGTTTCCCTTTTTGAATGATTTAAAAACACAAACATGTTCTCACCCATTTACTCTATTAATTGTATTTAAAATTAAATGCTTTTAAAAATAAATGCATATACTAAACATACAAATGACGCTTTTAAATCCAGGTTAACGAACAACTAAATTGGTATTTATCGGTCCAGACAAGGATTCATGATGATGAAGGGTATTATGAATTTTGTTTTCCCATTATTTACTTTAATAACTTATGTACTATACGTATTTAAAAGGATTTTCTGAGATATTCAAGCTGATATTGAGCTGATATGGATTTGCAGAGAGATTAAAACTATACCAAATATCTTAATTATATTTTCATGATGACTGGCATACTTATTTTTTAAAAGCATTTTTTCCCAACTGTTTACCCCTTTTAAATCAAAATTAGTTTTATGGTGATCATTAGATTTTGTTATTCTTTTTTTTTTGTACAAAAGCTCTTTGCTTTACTTGCCCCCGACGTGCGGCTGCTGATCAGCCTTTCGAATAAGTTGCTCTATCTCCGCTCTTAAAGTCTCTGTTCCGGCACAGATTAGATCCGGCTTCAAAGGAACCACCACAGTCCCAAGGATACATGTCCTCGATGTGAAAGGCGTCCAGGTTACCAGCGGCTACCATGCAGAGTGAAAGTACCACAGCCGAGTAGGCAAGGAGCCTGAAACAAAAACAGGTTTATCAAAGGGAACTTCACAACGTTAGGTTGAAAACCAACCTCCTAGCCTGTGATCCCACATGGTAGATCCTCTTGATGTGCCTGTTCCGAATCTTTGGATCTTTGCAGTAGGCAAACCTCATACGCCACATTGGCATCGTTGAGATGCTTACAGTTGCTCACCCGAATCGGCTTTCCATTGCAGAAGGCACCCTGTCCCATTTTGGCCGTGTACAGCTTGTTCTGGGCAGGATTATTGACCACTCTGGGAGGAGTCAATAGACTCCCCACAAATAGCCGACACCAACAAGCCAAACGCCAACAACACAAATAGCCCCTACATAAAACAACACAGGCAGCCATTCAAGCAACCGAAAACAAAACCACAAAAAACCAATACGAACTATGTAAAAAAATAAGTTAATATATATATATATTTAAGATAAATAGATTTACTTAGATTTAAGCCATACATACCTACGATAGTTCTTGATTTTGCCATCACCCACCCGTTCTCTCATCACACACACACCAGCGCAGTGGTCCCCATAATCGAGTGCCGTGAGCCAAACCCAATACGCGCTACCGCTGACCCCTTTCGCTCTTTTGCAAATGCCAAAATAAAACCCTTTCTTACTCAGTATCCCGGTGGTTGACACTCTCCCTCTCAAGTCAGCCCACCGCTCGTCGAAGACCCTTGTCACAGATCTTTATAAATTTTCTGTAAAGAGATCCTGGCCTGACTGAGCTTCACCCCAGCCTTCGAAGCCCCTTACAACTCCCATCCCCCGTTTTTCATTTTCCAGTTCCCGGTTCCTTGTCTGCTCAATGTTGGGACTTGATCTATGCGAGGGCGTCTGTCTTTATCCCCAATGCGACAGCTTCAACTTCACATAAACAATTGCTTAAGGGGGGGTAAGGTTAATTCGGTGCAATACGGGCCACTTTTCAAAAATGTATTATGGCGAAACGGCTAAAGTTTGGTTAATGAATTAATAACCATATAATAACACAACATTTGAATAGTTTTTGATAAATTTTGTATTGAAAAATATTTAGAGGTAGAGGAGTTATAGGGAATCTCCCGAGTCGCCTCCAAAAAAAGTTGGTCTGCGGTGTACATCCTAACAGTCCACAGAATCATCCGATCTAAAAAAAATAATACCTCATTCGTTAAAGGATAAGTGTCCCAAGGTATTCAAGAAGCGTTTTTATTTTTAAAATTTTTTCCCGATTTTTTATAAAAATTTTAAGTTGAAACCCCGATTTTTGACTCAAAAAATTAGTTTATTTGTTAAACAAAAAATATAATAAAATTAAAAATAAAAAAAAGCTTGACGTGAGTACCTGTAGATTTATCTAAAGAAGTTATGTTCCAAATTTCAAACCGATTGGATTAGTCGATTTTGAGTACACCGATTTTCAAAATGGCATTTTTCAGGAGAGCGCGTTAAACTTTGTGATTCTCATGCATTGAACACTAACCGACCTTCGTTCAACTCTGCATAACTTCGTTAATTTTCCTATGATCGATGTAAAACTTGAATTCTTAAGATATTGTTTTCTGCGGAAGTACAATTGTTTTTAGGTGAATTTTTGTGTCGTTTTATTTATTTATTCCTAAATATTTTCTTCTCTTCGACCCCCTTTGAGAGCTCTTACGGTTAGGTGAAAGGGAAAAAAACTTTAAATATTTCAATTACTATTATCATTACAAAAATCAGCAAAAATTTACTTAAAAGGGTCCTTTGAGGGACATAACCATGACATATTTCACAAAACTGAAAAAGTTTATTGAATATGGCCCAAAACTTTGACTGTATTTTGGAAGTTTTTGTAGTTCCCAAATTAAACACGTTTGGTGTGTCAAATATTTTAAAGGGGGTAGTGAAGACCGAAAAGAAAGATTTAAAATAATAAATATTTATATGGCATTCCCTATACAACTGAATTACATCGGGAAACAATTTTTTTAAGTTGTAATTTAAGTAATTTACATTTAATTATAAAAGCTTTTAAAATAATGTTCTTTATATTTTTAATTTTGGTTTTTACGAAGCCTTTTTTATAAAACTATTAGCTATGTACATACAAATAGCCCTAGGCGATCGAAACATTAAGTTATGCTTAGTGTAAAATAGGAAAGAGCATATTTTTGCAACGGCATTTTTGCGCTTGTTTTTTGTTGCAAGATATATCTTTTTTGTTGTAGTTTCTGCAACACAATTTGTAGATGTTGAATTTTTAAAATTATTTTTCCGACTTGTTTGATTAATGCAATCTACAATTAATGCATTTTTTATACCCTTGTAGGGTAAAATAATTATAATTATAGTCAATGTTTTCATTTCCGATCCTATAATGTATATTCATGATTAAAAGCCGAATCTATCTAGGCTTTTCCACAGGAAAAATATGTACCGCTTAAAAAATTTACGTATCATTGACGGTTGAAATATATTTAAATAACTTTGTAGTAAAAGTAAAATTAAAGAGTAAAGCTGATTAATTTCGACAAAGAATCCCAAACTCCCGCTGCCCATTACTTTCTAATTTTACCCTAAATCATACTTTGAATGGATTTTGAAAATTTATATCGATGAATCGCATAATTTAAAAAAGTCGGTTAATCGATTATGGAATCGATTTTATTATCAGGTCGAATAATGGGTGGAAAACTTTGGTAGATTTAGCCAATTTTCAAACCGTGGCGGGAACTTTTATAAATAACTGAAATTTGAATAGAATTGCATGTTTCGTCTGCTGTCTACTTGGGGATTTGTATTTATTTTATAATAATTTGGCCCAGACTTTGCTATCACTAGAGATTTACCATATAAATACATGTAACCCTTTGCCCTTCTCTTAAACCTTCAACATATATAACACCTCGAAAGACAAAATTCCCATTGCTAAAAAAATGTTCGCAATTATTTAAAAGACGTATAAAAATATTATTTTATTGATTACAAAACTTAACAGATTACAACTATAGTGGACAACTAAACCAACATACTGGCATTGTTATCGCAAAACTCGTAAATATTATCAACAAACTGCATTTCCTGCGTGTTTTTAGCAACTTGAGGTGTAATTTCTTGGGATGGTTGTGGTAATTTTGGCTTTTCCACCTTGTCGGCCTCAGGTTCCTCCAAGGTCAGACGTTTCAAATTATTGATCAGTGATATATCGTGTCGGATTTCATTTTTCAGTTCCAGCAGTTCGTGTTCCGTTTTGATAATGTCCTCGGCATAGGCTTCGATATTTTGCTGGAGCTGCCCCACCGATACCTCCATTTCCGGCCCCTTGTACCGTTCGTTTTGCAATCGGTATAATCGGCACTTTTCGGACAACTGACGGGTGAGTGCGTACTCCTGTTCATAGCGAACGTTCATATCGGCGTGCAGGGAGGCCAACTTATTGCGAACACTGTTGCGCAACGGCTTATCCTTGCGCCTCCTGATGCAATTATTATTAATATTATAATTGTTATTGTTGCTCTCGCCGGGAACGGCCGTTAGAAAGGTTTCCACAGATACCTTGGTTGGCTCGTGACGACTGCGCCTTCGATGTCGCTGCTTGGACACACGATTTTCGGCCAGCTTATAAAGCTTGGCCTTGGCTGCATTTTCAGTGCCCTTATAGAGCTGATCTGGCATTATAACCAGAACGAGCTCATTGGACACCGCTGGCTGCTTCTCCTTCAATTTATTGGGTACTTTTGGGGGCGTTTTGGGGTGTTTTGGCATATTCTTTTTGCTTTTCTTGATGTGAAGCAGCTTCTTCAGCCATTTGATCATTGAGAAACTTGAGTGCTGGGAATGAGGCACTAATTGCATTGCCCTTGGATCTCTGAAGTTATCGCGGTGCTTGAGGGATATGCGGAGCTGGAAATAAAAAGGATAAGTTAAAAAAATAATCAATAAACCGGAAATAGAACTGAAAAGAGTCGTTGGCATGGCCCATTGAGTACTTTGATATGTAGATTAAATCATTTAACTAAAACTTCAGCTATTGAAAATAAAAAGAAAGATATTGAGGGTTAGTTTTAACCTGCAGCTACTTCAGAACCAATAACTTAATGAGAACTCTGATACCGAGTAGATTTAAATTGTAGTTTCAAAATTATATAAGTAAAAATCTTCAAATATACATCTCACAATAAATTCCTGGTAATCTTTGCCCTCATTCACACAACTCTTTCATTCCATTAACTAGATACGATCATTAAATAACAATTAGGAATACGTAGTAGTCGATGTTGTCCCCAAAGGAACAAACGGAAAACATTAATCACACTGCTAATGGCGCGGATCATAAAAAATTTACAACATAATTAAGCCGAAAACGAAAACATGAACTTTAATACAAAAATCAATATAGGCAAATTGATTTCAGTTGGTGCGTCATAAACAAATAAATAGGGGAATACGAAAAGGCAGAGGAGAGCATAAGTCAAATGCGAGTACGGCTGGTATATGGACACGCGGGGGTGTGACTCCAAGGAGGAGGAATGGGTTTCGAGAACGACATGAATTTCACATTTCTCGGCTTGCGTGTGGCGCCAGAAAAAAAAGCGCTTATTATGCAATCACTGTAGACTTTTTTGGGCTCTCTCTCTCCCTCTCTCTTTTTCTGCACGCCAGGTGGGATTCCCCCGGTCCCCGATTATTGCCATTACCTCATTGTGTACACGGCTCCAAGCGCGCCAAACGGGCAAAATGGCCATGTTGCCATCGTAGCTCCGCTCAACGCCGCCCCAACTTTCCGTTATAATGTAATCGCCGTAGTCACGCGATGCTGCTACCGCCGTATTCGTATTCCTCTGGCCGCCATCTTGTTTTCCCGCCATACGGGAAAAGTCGAAACGAAAAAGGAAAGCGGGCCGAAAAAAGGAGAAAAAATAGGAAACAAAAGTGTAATTGTAAATAAGGAGCATAAATAAATAAAAAGCCAAATTGTGATGTATATAAAGAGGAGGAAGACGAGCGAGCAGTCACGACAGGATCGGCTGTAAAAATAAAATATTGACTTACCTTTTGGCTTGTTGCCGCAGTAATTCCCGCCGTCCTCCTCGTCCTTTCCATTGTTCAGTTCGTCATCAATCAGGGCCTTGATTATGTCATCGCAAGTCGTTTTGTTCGTCACTCCCGATACGTAACGCGGCTCGCCATCGTCCATCCAAATGGGGATTTCCTTGTGACCCTGTTCCTGTGCAAATATAAGAGACGCGGGGAAGAACAGGGATCATTAGACAGGGTTGCTACACATTCAAAAGAGATTGGGTATCTTTTTACGGTAATTTTTTATGTTTCCTTCCGTCAAGCACAAATTATACCCTTTTATTTTAAACTATATTTTAAATAAGTTTTTTTTTACAGATCTGACTATTGACTTTTAAAATAAAAAGGTTTTGTCAGAGGGTAAAAACGGTAATTTTGGAATGCTGGTCACATTTTAAATATGTTTTTTTTTAAATAAAGTTTAAACAGTTCAATTGTTAAAGAAGAAATTGTAGGTTTTTAAAAGTTGGTCCACACTCTAAAAATGTTTCAGCTGGAAAATCAATAGATTTTATCCTTAAATATTAATCTAGTTATTATTTCTTTCATTTTCCCAGTACCCTAAAGTTCTTTAATCCTTACTGCATATTAAAAAAGCCTACAAATTTCTATATACTTCTTCGTCTTACGTTTCAATAACCCTAATTATTATAAGAACTCGGCTTCGCTGAAGGAACTAAAATGCAGTCTCCCCTATAATTGAAAGTTTCCAGCGATTTCTTATGCAATCGACGCACACTAAGCCCGCATCTACCTCCCTTTCCCCCAGTTTTTTGGAAAGTACAGTGCACGGTGGCAGGTTACCTGCTAGTTTCCCTGCTTGCATACATATGACTAACGCCTCTGCCCACCCAATTAGATGATTTGTTTGATTTCAGCGGAAAACCCGCCGCAACCGTAATGCAGGGAACGAGGTGGCAGGTGGCAGGTGGCAATTGTAAGGTAAAAGGGGTGCAGGGTTGCTGGCAGGAGGTGAGGCATGGGTGTGAGGTGGCACTTACCACAGTGCTATTAACGCCGTAGAGGGAAATGGAGCGATGGCGACGACTGGCCTGGCCAACGTTTCCGTTTTCCCTGCCGTGTTTATTTTTGCATGCCACGGGATTAGGCGCTGGCTCCACGAATGCAGTCCTCTTATTATTATCATTATTATTATTATTATTATTCTGATTATTGTTGTTGTTGTTGCTATTGAAGTCTTGATTTTGACAACGACGACGGGTGGGCAGAATGGGACTCTCGGGTAGATTCAATAGCGATGGACAGCTGTCCAGATTATCATCGATAAATGTCGAGTTTTGCTGCTGCGGCGCCATATTCCTAATGCCGTATTGGAGGTAAAAACCTCTCTCGCTAATTGGCAACTGCAAGGAGAAAAAAAATAAAAACATATATAGTATATATAGTGAACATGCAATATCCTTGTTGGACATTTTGTTGGTTCAGCCGGTTGTACGTTCTTTCGCCTACGCTTAACGATCAATTTAGATTTTCTGCCCGCGATTAAATAAATTATGCAGGACCTCCTGCCATACACACACACACCACATATATATATAAATAGTACATGGTTCTGGCATATAGTATAAGGTTGCACCTCGCATATCCCGTGGACAGGACGACGCAACCCCATCTAGATTCCTAGAAAATTGCCTACGAACGTCAGTAGGCGCCGGTGTGCCATTATTCAGGAACATTGCCGGCGTTTAGCCTGTCGCGCTATCCTCCCCTCTTGAAAGAGGCCTACTTTTCCCCACCATCCAGCCCATTTGAAATCCCCCAGAGCCTCCCCTAATTTGGTGTTCGGGGGGCGTTGTCCGGACCTTGCAGTTTGTATGCAAATTCTGTTTTGCAGCCGAAAAACATTTTCCTTTCTAGTTCAATTTTCCCTCTGACTATATTTTCTTCTCTTTTATTTTCGTTGCAATTGGTGGCCCGACTGACTTATGAATTAATGCTAATTTATGCCGCCGGAAAATGCAGCGAAGGAGCTCGAATTATATAGATTGCTCGGGGGGGGAAAGTGCAGAAATATTTTTGGGTAGGAAGTTACCTAGAAAACATATGTGCTGGATCTTTATATGAGTTAGGCAGGAATCGTTTTTTGAGGCAGGAAAAAATATATACAACTTTCGAAACTTATATATTGTATTATAAAATACGCGATTGATTTCCTTTAAAAACTCTTACTTGTTTTGCGGTTAATATATATGAACTGATACTCTATTTGTCTCCCTTACTTATTTTTGTTCGTTGTTGCTTAATTGTTACTTAAGTATCAGAAGTTTAAGACATCATATGTTTTAAGTATTTAAGAAAGGTAAATTAATTACAAACTGAAATTTATACGTTTTTCTCGTAATACTTTTCCTATATTTAATACTCTAAAACTCTGAAATCCCATTAAAATAATTCAGTTAATGAAATTTTTTTCAAAACTGCTGTTAGTTAGTTCCCTGAAGGCCCTCAATTGTAGGTCCAACCTTTACTCTAGCAATTGCAATTGATGGAATTCAGAGAAATTTCAAGAATTCCCTCATCAAATATTTAGTTGCTCTCCGGACAGGTGCCTCAGCTATGGGCCACGCCTCCCCGAGTTGGTCTATTAGAGAAATGAGTTGTGAGTAGGGTAATTTGCAAAAGGATTTCCATCTGCCACCACCACTCATTCACTCCCGATGGCAAATGCCCTTCAGTGTGTGTGTCCTGGCCTGCCTTTGATTACGCTGGACACCTGGACATGCCAACCAACATTCATTTAAAAATGTAATTTCCAATCAAGATAAGTTCAAATGTAAATTTTCTTCGGCGAGGTCAATTACTGGGCTTAGCCCTCCTCACCCCCTCCCCACACCAGCACTGCACTTAATTGTTTTGTGGCGTGGCGGGGGTGGTCGGAGGTCCCTTCCCTTATTACACATTTATGTGACTGAGACTGAGACTGGGACTGGGACTGGGGGGTTAGGACTACACACATTTGACCCTAAAGGTTCAATGTCTCGCAAGTTTGGCCAGCGATTGGGTTTCACTCTTGGAATATTGTATTTTTAACTGTTTAACAATTTTAGCCTAGCCCCAATTAATAGTTCCTTGTATGTCCCGTGTGCGTGTTGGCTGGAAATTAATTTTGTTTTGTTGGTACTGCGCATTGGATTCTAGAACTGAAAATAAACTTGCAACGCCGCTCGTGGCGTTAGCGGCGGGTTTGGTAATGGGAGGCGTATGAGTAATATTGCGATGGCTGTGATTTCATAAGGTTTGGTGAGAAAATAGTGCTGAAGTGGCTTAAAAGTTCGTACTTGGAAACGAAATGTAGAGCCTAGAGCCTATTCTAGGCGAGATCATAGTAAGAATACTATAAATAAAAGTATAAACTATAATTTTATAATTTTCGTTCATAAACTTAATTATTTTAATAAAAAATAGAAGCGGGTTTTGCATAAAACTTTAGTCTAGGGTTTTGGGTTATTTGAAAAGAGGTTTCCATTTAATTTAAGAAATTTAAATCCTTTCATTATTTTCTTATTTCTGAAAATAACCTTTAAAATCTTGTATGCTATATTTCCAAACCCATTTAAATTCCCTCAATTAACCTTCTCTTTAGTTTTGGATACAACATTTCTTTAAGATGATGTCTATGGCCTTTGCTTAAGTTTTGGCACCCGCAGAACCACAGAATATTGAAAATCAACTGTGAATTCTCCCAGTGCCAAGGCTCAAAGAAGGCAAAGATTCAAAGATTCAGAGATTCCCAAATCCCAGAACAGATCATGAATGATCGCTTACCGTTTGTCTCCTTTTCCTTTTCTCTGAAACTCCACTGCAATTTTTCACTTTTTCTGTTAGATCCTTTGGTTTTTCTTTGCTCAGTTTTTGGCTTGATCTAAGGCTGGTGGTTTCTATGCTTCACTGCCGCTTCACACATCCTCCAGCCCGCAAGGACATGCTAATCCTTTGAGCTTTGACACTTGACTGAAGTTCAAATTTGAATTTGCGGCTATGTAAGGTGAGCCGACGTCGGCGTCGTCGCTGGCCGCGCTGCTCTGCCGCCTACCGGCCGGATAATATAGGAGAGAGTGTATATAAAAATTTGTCTAGATCTGGACAGGTGCTAGTGCTGCCGTCCCTGTCGCGCCTGGCACTCTAGATTCGAAAGCCGCTAGCAACTAGCATTCAAATTCGCCGCACACGGCACACAGGTCCTGCGAGACTCGGCTCGGAGGTTCGGGTTGCCAGGAACAACGGAGCACAACAAATAACTGGACGGCGTATCCTTGGCGACGGCATGTGACTAACTAAAATTTTATTTGCTACCACACAAAACTTTAAAGCAGAAAAAACGAGCTCGAGCTCGAGGAAACGCACACTGGCACACACACAGCCGCACCTGGCGCTGTGCGACAGAGAGGGAGCACCGCCGCCGCTGCCGCCCGCGAAAGAGAGAGCGTCCGAGGGTAGGTTCCCCTTGGTTCCTGTCCAGTCCCAGTCCCAGGTCCCTGTCTGCTATGCCCGTCCTGCCCCTGCTGTCGTCATCGGGCCTGAACGGCTGCCACCGTCTTTGGCCAACCACCAGCCACCACCGAAATCGAGTGGAATATAAAATATAAACGCGGCGCAGCAGAGTGTTCCTACCAATTTCCACCTAGCCCTAGCCTTCTAGACCTTCTCTCGAGCACCACTACCACTGCCACAGCCACAGCCACGACCACTCCCTCCTCCGCTCTTTGTTGCAGTTTCAGCTATTCCGTAAACGAACTATAGCGTGTGCTACCAGCCAGCAACGCCAGCACCAGCACCAACACCAGGACACAGCAGGAGCAGCGCTATAAGGAGTCACCGACAACACCAGCACAGCAATCCACTGTGAACAATGTTTTAGTTAAAAACCTAAGAAAGAGGCTCCCAGAAATTCTTTAGTATAAATCCCACAATTTTATGATGTTCAATCATTTTTTTATACACTCTCATTGCCAAAAAATATTATTATGAATATCCATTATATTAATTTAGATCATAAATAATATCAAAACTTAATTTAATTTAATTTAAAGTGTATAATTTTATATTTAAATATATTTCATAACAATATAAACTTCATTTCATGCTGATATTTTTATACCCTTGCATGGTATTATAATTTCAGTCAGAAGTTTGCAACGGAGTGAAGGAGACGTTTCCGACCCTATAAAGTATATATATTCTTGATCAGCATCAACAGCCGAGTCGATCTAACCATGTCCGTCTGTCCATCTGCCCGTCTGCCTGTTTCTACGCAAACTAGTCCCTCAGTTTTTAAGCTATCTGAATGAAACTTTGCATATAGTCTTCTATATGCTCTCACTGCTATATATGTCGGAACGGGCCGGATCGGACGACTATATCATATAGCTGCCATACAAATGTTCGATATATTTTTAGAAAAAAAATTATAACTTTGCTGTTTTTCAACATTTTTGCACCATTTTTTAGATATGATCATTTTATATTATTTCAGAGTTTTGGTAAAAATTTTATGAAAATCGGAAGATTATATGAAATAGCTGCCATAGGAACGTTTAAGAAATAAATAGGAAAAAAATTATAGCTTCGTTGTTTTTCAACGTATGTTTATCTACTCTGAGATATAAGCTTTTTTTATTATTCTAGAATTTTGGTATAAATTTCATAAAAATCGGACTACTATATCATATAGCTGCCATAGAAGCGATCAGTGAATGTATAAAATATGTAAAGCTGGGAATGTAAAACTGTAACTGTCAAACTGTAAACATAATAAGTATTAGTAAAATGTAATGAAACTCTGTTTTGTGAGTGTTTTCAGCATTTAAATCTATAATATAAACATCGAAACCAATCTGCAAGGGTATACAAACTTCGGCGTGCCGAAGTTAGCTTCCTTTCTTGTTTTAAATATTATAGTTTTAACCGAAATATTGCAACGCCTTGACCAATATCACCAGTCACTACGATCTAGAGTTTAGAGTTTTTCGACTGGTGGAATGTTTAGGCCTTATCTTATAATTGTAGACTTATTTCCTACAAAGGAAATATTAAAAACTCAGTTCTCAGAATAATTGTTGTTTCTTTCTCTCAGCCATGAAAACGTATTCCCATATTTCTCAGTGTACCCATGCCATGACGCGCACTTTGCGTTATTTGGTAAAACGAGATTGTTGATAACGTGCCACCAACAACAGAAACAGCCAACTATAAAAAAACTCGCGGTACATAAAAAACGAATTTCTGCCTTGTTTTTATCCTTGCCCCCCCCTTTTCCACTCACTCCTCGAAGCAGTATATTATGCCACCCCCTCGGTGTTTTCTGCTGTGTATTTTATTGTTAATGGGCAGCATTTGCTTTTGGATTCGATTTTTTTTTTTTGTTTCGAATTTTTTCGTTTGTTGTACATTTGTTGCTAACAGACTATTTTTTGTTAAAAAATACTATATGTGATTCGGTATGGGGACGATTTTTGGGGGAACAGTGCTCCCATAATGACATCGAAGGAATAGTGTTAATGGTTTTAACAGAATGTTTAACGAAAGGCAACGAAAGGCGGGCTTGGGTGAAAGTAAAAGGAGTTTTTGTTAGGAAATGTGTGACAAATAATGTATAAAGTGTATGAAGATTTTATCCTGATTGAGGTTTAAGATAGAGAAATGGTTAGAAAGTATTGGAAAGTTTTCATTCTTGGAGAAGTTTTAAAATTTAATGTTTTATAATAAAACGAGTAAAGATACAAAGTCCACTTTACATAAAATTTTCAACAAGATCAAGCAGCAAATTTATAAGAAAGACACTTTGAAGAAAAAGGATCCTCAATATTAGCTTTCTGCGGAATTAGCTCAAATGCCAACTTAGTTTACCTCAAAAATGCATAGTACAAATACAGATTGGATCGGACTTTGACATTTGAATGTTTTTGCTTTACTTTGCCGCCCTATAATTTCCCCCGAACTCATTAGGGATTGGGCAATACAAATATTCAATAATGCTCGAGCTCATTAGGAATCGATTGGTAGGAAGTCCGCCTCTAAAACTGGACTAGAGTTTGGGTTCCACCTCCTGCCAAGCCCAAGGCAGGTGCCAACTTATCTGTGTAATATGACAAATGGCCACTACTCCTTGCCAGTCATTACAGCTTTTGCTGGGTAATGCCCGGCAATTGCATTTGAAAATGTTCCAACATTCAAACAGAAAAAAAGAAATAAGAAAACAATTAAAAACACGCAAGTTGTCCCTTTCAGAAGGAAAAGCGCGTGAAATCCTGACGCGACGGCCACCTCGATTATGTAAATGATTGATTTTGGAGCTGGAGCGGGCCAGGCTGTACTTACTAGCGGGTGACTAGCGGGTAGAGACTACAGACTAGGGGTTAGTTTAGGGGTGGCTAACTTCCTCGTTACTCCGTTGCCCCGTTGCGGTTCAGCGATTTCACGGTATGGCACCGTCCTCGGCATAAACAAACATAATGCTCGTAATATCCTTATAATGGCACCCACCAGCCAGCCACTCTCGCTCTTTCCGCGGGGGGATTATTACAACGATTATTATTCCTGTTTTTTAGTGTGGGAACCACCTCCATGCCAACCAATGATTGCTGGTGGTTATTAACTCGCATTTGGATGAATTTTCCCGCGACTAATTGCCCCGCCCCATCGTCCTAGCTCCCTAATTTGGCAAGTCCTTTTATGTCCAGTCCCAGCTCCGCATGCAATTGCCGGCGCCACGTGTCGCCGGTGGGGCGGAGGGGGAGTTCGAAGTCCTGGTGAGGCGATCCTGGCAAGGCACCATTGCATGTGTCGCATATATGGAAATTCCTTAATGACAGGGGTAGTACAACTCCCCAAGTTCATTGTGGTGCAAGAGTTCAGTGCTCAAGCATTGATTGAGTTTTATTGTTGATTGTTGAGTGGAGATTGCAGGTCATCCGTACAGGGTTAGTTTTCCGTTGGAAAACTTATACAGAGGTGCCACGGAAAGTGCCAAGGGGTTTAAATCAATTATATGTATAGTATAGGTCTTAAAATATTTTAAAAAAGGAAAGTAAAGTGAATAATTAATTAATTAAGTAAGAAATTCTTGTTTATATTTTGTATGATATTCAACAATTGATTATTTTTTTGAATGTGTATTATATTATTCATACCACCCTGCCCAAGTATCAAATTATATAATCGTTTTAGTGGCTCCATTTATACGTAGATTTAAAAATATATTTGATTTTATTTTAAACATTTAATCAGTATATTAAAAAAAAGGTGCCATAATTTAGAGAACTTCTTTATACACAAATTCAATTGGTTTTAAATTAACAGCAATTTCTGTTAAGCTCCTGACAAAGATTTTCCTAAGTAGTATCGAACTACTAGATTTTATTTTCTTCAAAATATATATTTTTATACCCTTGCAGGGTATTATAATTTCAGTCAGAAGTTTGCAACGCAGTGAAGGAGACGTTTCCGACCCTATAAAGTATATATATTATTGATCAGCATCACCAGCCGAGTCGATCTAGCCATGTCCGTCTGTCCGTCCGTCTGTCCGTCTGTCCGTCTGTCCGTCTGTCCGTCCGTCTGTCCGTCTGTCCGTTTCTACGCAAACTAGTCCCTCAGTTTTAAAGCTATCTGAATGAAACTTTACATATAGTCTTCTATATACTCTCACTGCTATATATGTCGGAACGGGCCGGATCGGACGACTATATCATATAGCTGTCATACAAATGTTCGATAAATTTTTAGAAAAAAATTATAACTTGGATGTTTTTTAACATTTTTGCACAATTTTTAAGACATGGCCATTATATATTACTTTTGAATTTTGGTAAAAATTTTATGAAAATCGGACCACTATATCTTATAGCTGCCATAGGAACGATAGGGAAGGTAATAGAAAAAATTATAACTTCGTTCTTTTTCAACGTATTTTCATCTACTTTGAGACATGAGCTTCTGGTATTATTTCAAAATTTTGGTATAAATTTAATGAAAATCGGACGACTATATCTTATAGCTGCCATAGGAACGATAGGGAAAGCGATAGAAAAAATTATAACTTCGTTGTTTTTCAACGTATTTTCATCTACTTTGAGACATGAGCTTTTAGTATTATTTCAGAATTTTGGTAACAATATTATGAAAATCGGAGAACTATATAATATAGCTGCCATATAAGTGATCCGTAGATGTAGAGAAAATGTAAAGCTGGGAATGTATAACTGTAACTGTCAAACTGTAAACATATTAAGTATAGGTAAAATGTTATGAAACTCC